GTTCACTAATTTTCCTCTGTATTGACTAACAAGCCCCCAGATAGCAATTTCATGTCATCAAAGTCAATATGAGCAGTGAGAAAATACAAGCAAATTCTTAGAAATCACTTAGAATTTTTCAGTCCACTCTCATAGGGTTTGTATACAGGGTGTTGAGTGAACTTCTTATATGGAAATCTTTCCATACATTGTACGTCAGTGAAGGGCAAAACCTGATATTGAATTTACATAATACAATTCTTTGAAAATAACATTCTGGACCTTTGTTTATTGTTTTTCTAAATTTTTCTTCCCACAGGAATGATGGTGGACCAATAAATTTCTACCAAAAGGAGCCTGTACCGTACATGTAATGTTAAATAGTGTTTCCTCCAACGCATTTCCTTTTTGCAATTATCCAACCAAAACTTGTAAACAATTTAAAATTTGAAATGTAAAAATCAGCGTGGGTGTTTTATGCATGATGATTCACCAATTTCAATGTGAAAGATTTATCTTTAGAAATACTGCATTGAAAATCTGCAAAATACAAAAAAAATTACAAAAAAAAAACAAAAAAAAAATCATCTCTTATTGAAAAATTCAATGTTCAGTGTAAACCAGGGGTATTATTGAGGGAAACTGAGGTGAGGGAATCCACAAAATAGGGGCCTAATCAGTAGAGGGTTTGGGGGCTGCTGACGTATGTGAGTCTATGATGTATTTGTTGAGTGCAAAAAGGCAGTAAAAACAGGCAGCTCTTTGCATGCAGTACCGGCATACCCATTTCTTTTGATCTACCGACGGTATAAACTTAAAGCCAAATTATGGTAAACCTCAGGAATTAGAGATTTCAAAACCTGAAATTCTTTAAAATCCTGAAAAGAGGAAAAACCCGAGCGAAAACAAATCCTGACAAAATTTCACCCCTGGTAAACACAGTGGTGAGAAGTACACAATGCAAGTTAGCGGTGTCACGCTGCCGACAGTGCCAAGCCAGGGCCCATTGTGTTCAGCATGACCAGGCCATACGGCCGTGCCACACTGCCCCAGAACACACCGCGCTGGCAAGCCTGCACTGCGGGCAGCCGGCGAGAAGAAAACAGGGCTCACATTGACATTTTGGGTAGCACCTCCCATACTGCTAAGCTGACTGTGGTTTCACAGCCTGATTGTCTAGCTGAATGGGGTGTATTCTCCCCCTGTTTTTCTGGGTCAGAATAATGGTTCAGCAGGGCTGAGGGTATTTTTATTAACCTGTTGTGCATGCAACTGGACAGCAGAACAGATATTTTTGTACAGTGTACAATGTGTATTTTATGCATTCTTCGATTGTAAATGATTTACAATAATATAATACTGTAGAACCACATGTACTTTATACTGTACTGGTACAGGGGTTGGCTTCAAAAAAGATTTCTTTTCCAACAATCTACATGTACCGTATCATTTTGTTAAAGACGTCTAGAACCACTTTTCCAGAATTTCAGGGGTAGACTAGTTTTAAGCCTGCCTTTTTTCCCCAAGATATTTGAGAAAAAACAAAGGAAGAGAACAGGTGTGCAACTGAAAAACGCTGTGACAACCCTCTGGGTTCAATGTACATGCTTGTATGACAGCGTATTATTACTTAAGTAAACTTTTATTTTCCAAATTCTGTACAAAAACCTGATGTCAATCATTCAGCTAGGCCTATAACTTTGGTTTCAGGATCTTCATTTGGGGATTTCTTTTGGATTTAAAAGATCGTTCATTTGGGTCATTTATCTTTAATGAGGGAGGCTTGTGAAAATGTTTGTGTCCAAACACTGACAATTCGGTGCTCGAAAACAAGAACATGAATGTGAATTGTGCACCCATGTTACATATTCTGGTTTTTTTTTTGCGATTTATAAACTTCTGGGCTCCATTTCACTGTTTTGACTGGAAAATGTTTGCTTTTTCTTGAACATTTATGATGTAGGCCTAAATGTACTTGGTGGTGTACAATACAGTATGAACTAGTATCCTGACACTATACTTTGGTTGTAACTTGTGTTAATTACCGGTAAGTCTACATGGAGGACTCTGATGAAACTTTTTGAGAATATCCTAACAAAATTTGAAATTGAGACCATGAAACTTTGTTTCAAAATTTGAAATGTTTCCCAATTCCAAATTCATGATTTTTTTTCACCATCTTCATAAGTACACATGTACTATATGCTACGACTGACCATCACTAACATTACATCATCCGGATTCTGCATTCTATTCCCCATTCCCGCTTTTGTGTGCCTGCAGAGGTTTTCCAGGATATTTTCGAAAGCAAAGTGGCAATACACTGATTAACAAGAGGTGCCATTCACTGCACTAATCCCATAGCATGCAAGGACTGTGCAAAAACAAGCAACAAATCCCAAACCCTTGGGCTTCGCAAACAGAAACTGAACAATGCACCACACCTCATCATAGACATGATAGAGCTGTGGTCAAAATGATTGAATGAGGTGCCCACACAATTGCCTATAAACCACATTCACAAGTTGCACATAGGCCTAATGCTAGCCGAAAGTCCCACGACTGTATTTCATAGAATTATGTACATGTTACATGTATAGGGATGACATTCCAAAAGATCTGATTTCAGACAAAAGTCTGAAAAATCTTGTGTCTGACATTACCATGACTGTTAAAGTTCGTACATGTATGTATGTAACGGTACATGCTTTTTGGGTGTGGTACCGGTACCTTGAAAAATAGATTTTCAAATTGAATTGATAATTTTCTAGCATAACATTTGTTATGAACTTTCCAATGAGACATTGCACACAAAAAAATCGGCCCACGACAAGTAATCAATAAACTAATTTCAACTTTTGAATGAAGAGTGGGACGCTCCTAATTCCTTCTCAATAATTTGCGCAATTTCTGAACTGGAGCGCGCCAGTTAAAACCACTTTTTAAAACTGTATAAAGGCCTGTAAACACAAACAAGCAAATTTATTTGTTAGGCATTAGGCCAGGGCTATACATGTATTTCTTTAAATTTTGTTCGGAAAAGAAAATCCAACTTTTGCAAAAGCACATATTACCAACTTTAACTTGCAATGTAAATTGAAAATAGAATTGGAATAGATTGGAAAATAAAACTTTCATTTTGAAAACATGTGTTGAAGTGGTTGTTGTGCATCATCACCAGATGTATACATCTTCACCAAATGTATACAATTTCAGTAAAATGTACAATATGTAGAGAGGATGGAAATTTGAGAAAATTTTAAAAAGAAAAAAATAAGACAGAAAGCAATGTTGTGACCAATTCTTGTTAAAATGTTTTGGTGACGACCGCAAAATGTTGCTGATCAACCAGAAATTGTTTCTTTCCACTAGTTACCGAATAAGAAGATGACAGTGCACATGTATACATTGTATACATGTGCATGTAATTGTTCCACTAAACAAATACATTATAATATTGGATGGCTTTGAGGGGGCTACAAATACAATATTCTTATCCCCCAAAAGCCAACCAATATTATTATTTTTTATTCATTTCAGGCTGACTTGATTCGCAAGACATAAATGTCAGGACACTGTATTTCTCAAATTTTGTCAACTTATTCTTCGCCTACCGAAGAATATTTCACGCCACTCGAAGCTGCCACTGTGGTCGTTGACAACAGTCCGCGTACACCCTGCTGTGCGCTGCGCATGCGTCTGCGTGCGATGGTACAGCGCGTTACGCTCTGTTAACTGGTTGACAACTGTGAGTTTCTACGCTCTTGATCGCGCGAGATACAGTGAAAATTATGCCAAGATCAGCACAATATCAAAAATAATATTGCAGTCATCCGAGTACTTTTAATGACATATCAATATTGCAGTCATCCGATCAGGGTACTTTTCATGAAAGCATACAATATGCTGATTTATGTTTTACTACTGGAAGCCTGATATAAATAATAATACTAGTCATTATTTAGCAGAGACATTGCTTTGATTAATAACCAACAAAAAAAGAGCCAAATGCAACCAAAAAAATCCAGTACTCAGTGTCTGGATCATGGATGCCGTTTTGTCAAATCATTAAACTTTAAATGCAAGAAAATAAATTCCAATTGTCTATTTCTACTGGAAATAGCGGGAGAATGAAAAAATGAAATGTGCATGTTTGTTCTTGTCAATCTTGTGTACGGCTGGTCTACTACTTTCTCCTACAATCATAATGCCATGATGTTTACATTTGATATCATGGTTAACATAGGTCCTACATTGAAAATGAAATGAACATTACAAAACGGAAAACAACATTGGAAAAGTAAACAAAATCTGAATTTGAAACAAAACAAAAAAAGGGGGGAACAAACAGAAAAAAATACATGTAAAACAGAACCATCAGTAATACAGTCCAACTGTAAACTGGAATCGGAAGGAATGTTGCAACCTGACGCTACTTCAGTCTATGGAGAGTCAAGAAAAATTTGTAAGTTTTTCCTAACAAAATTGAAAATGTTTCTCAGTCCCAGATTCATGTCTCATCCTCATTTTTGCAATGACTGACCTTATAAAAAGCAGCATCACGTGTCATGTTGCAACATTCTTTCCCTGGAATCAACATGACAGATTTAAGTTCAGAAACCAGCTATAAGTAGCTTGAGTAACTCCAGCTCTAATGCTCGCGATGAGTTACTCAAGCTAAGCTGTAGTGTAGTGTATAAAAAAAACACCTGAATCTAAAAACCAAATGGAAATATGATCATTTGTACTTGTATTGTATAAAACTTCAATGAGAAAAACAATCAGTACCATAAAACACAAGATAACTTAGTTTAAGCATGGATATAAGATGGTTTAAAGTAACTGTTAAAAGTGTTGTCTCAAATTTCAAAAGGTTGGACTGACCAACAAACTACGAAAACAACGAGTGCGCGGATCAGATTAGTACGCGCCGTACAATAAGCTCAAATCACGGCGGCCAACTCGGGCTAAGGCCCGCTGAATCAACACCTCCCCGGACACACACAAAACAAGAAACTTACGAGTCGTCGTAGGCGAAATCCGCACTCAGGGTGTTCCAATACAGAATCAGTGCCAAGAGGCTGCAGCCCAGCACGTCATACATCTTCGCTTCTGCATCCAATAAGTAACGATTTTACTTCAAAAGAATTCATCGGGAAAGATTAAAATTGTGATCCAGATTCGGTGACACTCCGTACTCGAATGCAACACAAATACGTCAACTTCTTTCGCACTGTGAGGTGATGTGTATAGACTGTATAGACTGCACACATGTACTAAGCGCATCACCGCATGCTGCGCTGTGATCGCATATCGCGTGGCGCGAGTATCTGCATAATTCCGACGACTGTTTCCAGTCAACTTCTGGAATACAACAGCCGTAGACTTCGGCACAGGTGTGATAAATACAATAGGCGCCACCTGCTGCGACCTGGGCAAGCCATCATGTGTGTCAAAATTTACTTTCTACTACAACAAGCTAAGTAAAGTAAAGCGAAACCAGCAATGGACTAAGTCACTCAGTTATTTAATCAAGTCGTTTAATCTTTTTAGAGCAATGAAAGTGATTATTAAACAGTATATGTCGACACATTTTAAACCATTCATATTTCAAGAGAAATGCAGTGCAGAAGAGAACCGTTTGCTGAAAGTTGGCTTCTTGTGACCAAAATATCCAATTTTATAAATGAATGTCAAACTACATGATTCAACAGAAGTCTTTGGAATGTACCAAGATGAATACCTTTTTATCCATATTTATAAATTGTTGCCTTGACCTATGATTACAAAGTGCAGAAAATACAAGGACAATAGAATAACTAAAGATGCTGATAAACTTACAATAATAAAGCCACTTGTGTCCTATTTTTGAATACATGAATATATTACAAGTACTGTATATTACCAGTATGTGTAGTTAAAGGGAATGTACATCATTGGCTTTTGCTGTAATTCTCAGAAATGAACTATTTGAGGGGTTAGTATAATAGATCAAATATTGTTACACTGACGTGTGAAGTTTTGTGTTCGAAAATGCTGGAAAACCAAGAAAAAAGAAAAATGTTCAAGTAGTCTGGTTCCCTGACTCCACTGAAGATGAAGTGGATCAATTTATAGATGCCGGAAAATTGTAAGGTAAGGGAACCAGTCTAGCTGGCCTGCACCCGTTCATGAATATGTAACCAATGGCAAACAAAATTTGAACTGAATAAAAAAGGGTAAATTTGGAGTAGTAGTTGCAAAATAGTTAGGTTTTTCCAACGGTGGTCGGCCGACCAATGCTAGAAACGTATACAAATATACCATTTTCTTGAAAATGACTTCACACCAGGTGCCATAATTTTACAGGATGCTTTAGACTGTCATTTACCAACATCCTAGTAAGGTATTTCGTAAAAACTTGGTACTTTTATTTCTCGATGTTTGCAAATGGTGTATATTCCCTTTAAGCTACAAATACAAGGTTGGAAAGAAAAACATTGGGCGTAATAAACACAAATGTTGTTACCATAATTTATCTTGTACAATTAACCCATTTCTTTAATTCCCAAATGTGATGGCTTTCAACTTAATTTCTACCCAAATATGGACTTAATGCAAATATAGCTACATACACTACAGTTTAGATAATCAGTGTAAACTCCATCTCTCTAGACAGGTTCCTGCTTCCCTTGTAACTTGGAGTTATGGAAATAATCGGAGGAGCCAGGTACCAGTCATGCCACCTTGCCTGGTATGCATCTATTATAATTACTTTTAGAACAAATGAACAGTGTTTGTAAACCAGTCAAAGTGCCAATGACATGGATGTTGTGACAAACTGCCCTCTCTTGTTCATGCACAGTCCATGTAAAGCTTCGAGTTTAATTTAAAGGGAATATACATCATTTGCTTTTGCTGTAATTTTCAGAAATGGATGGAATTGGGGGGTTGGAAATATATAGCAAATATAGTTACACTGACTTTTTTGAGGTTTTGGGTTCGAAAATGCTATAAAAACCAAGACAAACAATCATTTTCCTGTAGTCTGGTTCCCTGACTCCATATAAGAAGAAACAGAGCAGTTTACATACATTGGGGAATTGTAAGGTCAGGGAACCAGTCTAGCTGGCTTGTACCCGTTCATAGGTGTGTAATCGATTGCAAACAAGTGCGATGGTCAATTTGGGGCCAGTATTTGAAAAAAAGCCAGTTTTTTCCAACGCTGGTCGGCCGACCAGCATTGGAAATTGATACAAAAATACCACTTTTCTTGAAAATGACAGTATACCAGGTGCCATGATTTTACAGGATGCTTTACACTGTCATTCACTAACAGTCCAGCAAGGTATTTCAAAATGATTTGGTAGTTTTATTTTTTGATGTTTGCAAATGTTGTATTTTCCCTTTAAACAGCTGAAGTAAATAAAGTCAATAACTATGTTTTCCCTCCTCACCAAAATAGTACAATAAAGAATATCTTAAAAATATACATGTATATGATAAAGATTATAATATAGAATATAATATAAAGAATATATCATATAGAATATGCGATTTAATATTCTTTTGCTTCTACATCAAAGTTACTATGAATACTCTCTTGAAACCTAAAATTATTTATCTTCGTTAATAACGAAGCTCTTTCCCCGTCCAAAATGTACTGTACTCAATAACTTTTAAATCTACGCAAAAAGGTAAATAAATATATAATAAAAAACTTTATTTTGAAACACACATAAGTGCTTTGTTCCCAAACTCATCAGAACTTGGGAATTATTGGATCGTGCAAAATTGAACTGAAAAAAATCCAACAATTTACCCTGTTGATGGCTTTAGGTTTGAAAAAAACTTGAAGCTCATAAGTTCTTGTCAAATCCTCAACACCAGAGGGTGCTGTTTATTTCAGCTTGCTTATTCCATCCATCAGTTGGTTAAGCTCACCTTAAAAATGAATGGAAACAAAGATGACATACATGTATATTGCAAACACATTCAAACCAAGAATCAGACCTCGTGCATAATTCATGTACAAACAAGACGAGGCAAGCTAAAATAGTAAAAGCTTGTCTCGAAGCGCACACAATTCTTTTCCATTGATTCAGAATTTGAAAGTCTTTACTCGCATATTGGTCGACACAGTGGGCCACATTTAGCCACTTCATTTGCGTAATACAGGGTTATCCTATACAATAGCACTGCCCGACCTTCTTCACCAGCCTACAATCAGTCTAATATGTCACAAGTGACAGGCAGTCAGTAAATGAGTCAGTTATTGTCAGTCAGTAGGCTGGCCCTCTGGGACCTCAAAATATTGTTGTTGACACATACTTTTGGGATGCTCAAAGAAGTCTTTAGAATTTAGCTTTTTTATTTTTTATTTATTTATTGTAATTTTTAACGAGGGTAGTCCATTTCAGTTTTACAAAACTGCTTTCCAAAGTAGCCCTCACATTGAAATTACATGAAAACAGAATGAAACAAAGAAAATAAAATTACAAAAATAGACAAGACTTTACAAAAAAAAAACCGTTACACAAAACATACAGTATGAGTAAAAACTAACAGAGAGCATAAAAACACTTATTGCACATAAACATTTGCACATGTACAATTACAGTTTTGTTTCTGATTCAAGTGAACATTTCTGTTACAAGTGAACATTGTTACAATAAGTGAACATTTTATTTGATATGCTTATAAATACACAATCTTCTTCCAAAGAACTGTCTGCTTTATCTTACCATTCAGTTGCTCAGCCACTTTCAGTAACTTCTCCTTACTGTCCAACACCTCAATGGACTGAGTGTAGGGATTGTATCGCACAGTGAAGGGACGTGGAATGGTTGCAGCAAAGGCCCTTAGGGAGAAATTGGAAATGATCACATCGTTGAAGTCAAGTTGGCTCGATTAACCCATTAGCACTTGTATAACATTGTATTTATTCCCTGAATCCGAACCATACAGTGTTTGGGTGGTTTCAGGCAGTACACCTTGCCCCCCCCCCCCCCCCCCCGGCGCATTTTTTGACAAAATATATTTTATTTTCAGCAATTTTTTTCAATAAATGGTTAGAGAGTTCTGACATCAATCCCAAAAAAGAAGCCCACTCAAAAACCATTACAATGCGCTGTGAAAATGGGCATATAATTTGCAGTATGCATAATAATGGTCAATTTTGAAGAGCGCCCCCATTAATAATAATATAATACCGAAGTCTTATATAGCGCACGTATCTACCAACAATTAGGTACTCAAGGTGCTGGAAATTATGTCTATTATTAGAGACAGGTAAATGAAGTACATGAGAAATATGAGAACCATTATGGAGCACCTTTATAATGGTTTACAAGGTGCTGCGGTTCATTAAGCAGCCACTGCCAGAAACACCGGGGCAAACCCCTTCTCTTGGCGATAAGTGTTGCTGGGTTCTTTAACGTGCATTACACAACACACGGGACCTACGGCTTCACGTCCCATCCGAAGGACGAAGCAATAATGGTAAAGCGCCTTGCTCAGGAGCGCAAGCACCATGTTCCCACGGTCAGGATTCGAACCCGTGTACCACGGCACACGAGTCGAACACCGTAACCACTGGACCACAGCACTCCATTAAGATGGGTACCAGCCCTCCCCCCTCCCCCTTTTTGATTTTATGGAGGCCAAGTGTCCGGAGAAAAAAATAAAGTCTACATTTCGGCTGTGCGGTTCCCCCCCCCCCCCCCCCCGACTTCAAAAGCTGGATACACTACTGCTGCCTTGCCAACTGTGACAGCTACAACCACAGCCTCAGCCACACCCTGTCACCTCATATTTGTTGGCTAAAACATAGCAAACATGGATGCGCCTTATTTTCTGTAAGGCATCGGAGAAGCTGTCGGCCAGGAGGTATGTTGTCTGAAACCCCTCAACTGGGTAGACCTCTTTAATGGCGGTGCTGGGTTCAAATGGTTTCACTGTAGGCTCATCTGTGAGAAAGTACTGCCAATAAAAGAACACTATTCAAATTACTTTGTACTGCATGATGCATAATACATAGAGCTGCTTGATGTCCAAAATGGCAGATCTTGCACCATGCATGTGATAATGTACATAACAGTGTTGGCGTAGTCGTACACGTACTCAAGTTCAACTCAAGTACACACAAGTACTCGGCCCGTACTTGAATATCAATACTCAAACATTATTTGGACTTGCCCGTACTCGATTCTTTGTACTCGAGTTCTGCACAGACTCGAGGTACTCGGTACTCAACTCCAGTACTCGTGAGTACACATCGAGTACCGGTGTAGCGTGAATCTAGGTTTCTATGAAATTCAGACTCATTGGTAATACCATGCATACGTAAGTATGATAATTGGGAGAGTGACCGGTCACATGAGAAGAATTAACTAATAATAGGGAAAAGGGGTCTGATTTTCATAGGAGACAGATTTTCATGTGACACCGGTACATTTCTTTTTAATGGATTCCATAGCTCAACCTGGAATGCAATTCTAGCACGATGGTGCAGTTGCAGTCTGTATTACGGCTTAGTCTAGTTCCCGCCTCCCCAATGTAACTAACATTCGAAGTTGTAGCACTGAGGATTCGTGAATCGGGAGCCAGCCAAGCTCATGCTTCATATGTTTTCTCGGCTCTTCACGGTTTTTCTATACATGTATTTGTGTAAAATTAAAAAAAACAAACAAGCAAATTAAGTCTTGCTTTTTGTTTTGTTTTGTAAATTTTTGGCTTTTCTTGTGTACTTATAATCGAGTTTGTTGTCTGGAAAGGTTTCCAACACCTCAGGTGTCTACCCAGCTATCCATGATTTCTCATTTTTTTGTTTTAAGAAATGGTAAAAACGAAAAGTGCCAGTTCATTCATTGACTTTTTTTGTTTTTTACATTTCTTTACACTAATAAAAGTTGTTTAGTGTTAACCACTTGGTAAAGAAGATTGAATTGCATGTTGTGTTTGTTTTTATTTTCAAGTTTTTTCTGTACTTTTTTGGTATTGTACTTGAACTCGGACTCAGACTTAGGTATTCGGACTCGGCCCAGTACTCGGCCTTGAATGTACTCGTACTCGGTGCTTTGGACTCGGACTCGTCACAGTGTACTTGGAGTCGGCCCTGGACTCGGCCCTAAAAAATTACTCTCGGAGTACTCTGTACTTGGATTTGAGGACAAAACCTCATTAGGCAGGGCAGTTTGAGGTTCGTGGTACAGCGAGTGATTAAAGGGCAAGCTATACAAATGAACTGTGTCAAAAGACACTCTTTTGTTATTGTTGATCCCTTTTACTTGGGATTTTGACTTGTGATATGACTTGTGACTTGATTATAACTCGATATTTCACTGACATCCAATTTACCTGAATCTCGGCCACAGAGGACAACAGACCAGCACCATAGGCTTTCCTGCCACTGGATTCCTTGCAGATACCAAACTCAACTGTGTACCAGTACACCTTGAGAACAAAAATATTACATAACAAGTACTGAATTATTTTATACTTAATATGGCGACGGTCACTCATATTTTAAAAGCGAATGGGGTTGCGGTGGGGGCTGTGGTGGGGGCTGGGGTGGGGGTTGGGGTCCAGGTGGGGGTGGGGTGGGGCTGGGGCAGGGGGTGTGAATTGTTTTGGATGGGGATTGGGGTGGGGGGGGGGGGGGTTGAGGGGGTTACGGGTTTGGGGTGGGGTGGGGGGAAGGTTAAAGGTTATGGTTAAAGCTATAGTCCATCATTTGCAGCCATCCGAAAAAGTAGCTGGCGTATTATTGTTAAAAAACATACTTAGTTGACAGATAGTAAGTGGACTAAACTCCCTGTGAAATTAATCTTTCTCGCAAGCTATCATTTTGAAGTAATCAACGAAAGAAGGCCTTTTCAACGGTGCGTCTTAAGACGCACCGTAGGACAATTTTAATTAGTAGTTCGTTTTGTTATTCGGCGCAGCGCGCGCAAACATTGGCACGATGCACAGGCGCGCGCGGTTGCTATAATTCGTCAGATCAGTGCGCGACATCGCGTATAGCTGCAATTCAAAACAATTCAAAACATGATTTAGCATATTTTGATTTGAAATTGAGATCCTAGAATGCTGTTTTTCTCAGAATATACAGCTGAAGCTGAGCTGAAACTTCATCAGGTTAGTTGTTCAGTATCCTTCATTAGATTTTGAACACTTTTGTTGCTTCAAACGAACAAAATGCACAAATTACAAATGATGGACTATATCTTTAAAGAGCTATAGTTCACTACATTATAAAAAAAAATTAGTTCAAATAAGTTAAGTACCGGTAGGTTAAAATTCCTGTCAAAAATGGGTTTCTTTCTTTTGCTCCACCCTGTATATCAGATTAAATGATGTGGATTACAAAGCTAAATCAAAGATGTAATACTTTTAATTTACTTTTTATAGTAAAAATTATATTGAAGAATATTAAAAAGCTATCCTTAACCCCGAAAGTCATGCATGTAACTTTAAATTTAGTTACATATTTGGTGTTAATGACCAGTAAAAGGCATAAATAAACCCCCAAAATACAAAAAGACATTTCAGTAACGTCTCTTGTGTGAGATTATATGATTTCAATCACATTACTATTGGGTATATAAGTCAAACAAGAGTCTGTGACTAGACTAGTCAGTGTTTGGTTCCCAACTCCTTCACCTAAAAAGCGAATGCAGAAGACGACTTACTGATGACAGCTTTTCAATGTACTCATCGGGGGCGCCCATTGAGGCCAGACCAATTTCCTGCAATAAAAATTCCAAACAAAGTGAATTTTCTTTTTTTTGGGAACCTAACACAATTTTTTGAAAATACACAACTTCAACAGTACTGGGCTATAAACTGAACACAAAACGATTATTTTCAAAATTATCAAATTACCCATCAATGCCTTGTGCGATACCCTTTATAATAATTTGAAGGGCTAATCATCCTTACTCGCAGCTGAGAAGCGAAGGACGCGGCTACAACGTGGTCGAGCTGAAGCCAGCCATACAATTCGTGTATGACCAGCCAGAGCACAGCCTGAGATCGAAAGTGTTTGATTTTTGCAGAGGGAGGAAAACCAGAGAGCCCGGAGAGAATTAATGCACAATTCTACTTGCGTATAGTCCGAGCCGGGAATCGAACCTGGGCCACAGTGGTGAGAGGCAAGCGCTTTACGCACTAGCCACCCATGCCACCCCTAAACCGTACTCTTTACTTTGCGGTTTACTTTTGAATCCCGACATACCTGTGAAAACTGGGCAAACTCTGGGTTTGCCAGCAGTGCGCAGTGTCCCAACAGTTCATGGCACAGGTCTCTGCAATGGATGAAACCAATGAAATAATGCGAATAACCCATGTTGGTAATGTCCAAATATCAAGAAGCAATGTTTAAGGGCAACATTAATAACAATGGTACCGATGATACAGGGGAACGTACGATAGAAAATAGCACCATATATCAGCAACAAGGAATGTTTTTTTTTTCAGTTGACAGTTTGGGCCTCCATCAGCAAACCAACCGTAACATTGATCCTGTCTGGGGATTCCCCTCTTAGTCTAAAGCACCTTAATGTGTAAAAGTTTTCAAGCCTGTACGCCGCCATGAAAAGTGCCACCTAGCGTCAGATGTTATTTATTAATGTACATGTAGCATTGAAGAGCGTACGTTACATGATGTCGTAACCCCCCTCCCCCCACCCCCCCCTTGAAATAGCAGTGGCCAGGGGCCAATTTAAACAAATTTTGCTTAAGCACAAAAAAAAACCCTTGCTTAATATAATCAGGTTACCGGCCTAAACTCCATGCGATGTACATTGCTTGTGACTGGTATTTACATGTTGTTTACTTAGCATAACAATTGCATGGGGTTTTTGCAGGCAACCTGATTACATCAAGCAGAGTTTTTGTGCTTAAGCAGCTCTAGTTGGATGCCTAGTTCATCGTCTGCTTCAGACAAGATCATAAGTGGGCCTGATGTCAGTAGGCAAATTCGAATCAGCACTTCAATAAAAAAAAAAAGCTGTCACAATGCCCCTAGCAAAAAGTCTCCAAATTTGGGATAGAAAAGCCACAAATCGCAAAAGGTTTTGGTTAAATTGGGAATAAATATAGTTTTTTGCCTCATCCACAATTCAATGATATTATGTTGATAAGGCCATACAAATCGGTGTTTACGTTAACTCCCTAAAAATTATCCCCGTCGGTAGGTAGGAAAATAATTTTGTTTTGTAACTTTTTATGTTTGTCTGTCTGTCTTTTATACTGATTTTTTTTTCTTCTAGGCCATTTTACCATTATTCTGTGTAATCCTAACCGTCCCGAATCCTCCAATTTATATGAATTTGCTCACACCGTAGGGGTTAGGGGTAATGAATTAATTGTTTAATTAACCAATTACACATAAACATAGGGAAGACTTTTTGTATTTTCAAAATATACTTAATTCAAAAATGCGAAATTTAGCTGAATGTGCCAATAAAAAGGTTTTTTTAGGCTTAAACATATTTTGGGTTTTAGGTCTGATGCGGTTTTCTTGATCTTGACACCCTCATGGCAACCTGGTAATAAACATATGGCATTTAAAAAAAACTAATTAACTTCTTTAAAGATATTGTCCATCATTTGTAATTTGTGCATTTTGTTTGTTTGAAGCAACAAAAGTGTTAAAATCTAATGAAGGATTTGAACAACTAACCTGATGAAGTTTCAGCTCAGCTTCAGCTGTATATTTCGAGAAAAACAGCATTCTAGGATCTCAATTTCAAATCAAAAGTTGCTGAATCACGTTTTGAATTGGGCCTGAATTCAGCGTCCGAGACACATTCTCACTGAGCCGATGTCGCGTTCTGATCCGAAGAATTATAGCAACTGCGTGCGCGTGTCCGTCGTGCCAATGCTTGCGCGCGCTTCGCCGAATGACAAAACGAACTACTAATTTAAATTTTCCTACGGTGCGTCTTAAGACGCACCGTTGGAAAGGCCTTCTTTCGTTGATTACTTCAAAATGACAGCTTGCCAGAAAGAATAATTTCACAGGGAGTTTAGTCCACTTACTATCTTTCAACCAAGTATGTTTTTCAACAATAATTACGCCAGTTACTTTTCGGATGGCTGCAGATGATGGACTATAGCTTTTACCCTCCATATATTCAGCTACTTACGGTTCAGGGGTGTAGAATGGGCTGGAAGTATGGCGCAGGTACTGGGTGGCCGGGAACACCCGGAAAGCCAAGGCACTCAGGAAATCTCTGGCAGAAAGCAGCGCCGAGACCGGACGGAGTGTGAACCCTGTACGCTCTGAAGAAAGAAACAAAGAAGGGTTTCACTCACACATTTTTTAAAACCATGGCTTCGCCTCAGATCTGGCTTCAACTCTTATTTTGATGTCCAAAGTCCGAACCCACTGGAAACACTACAAACTTTGTTCTCCGTACTAAACATTTGATGCCCGACATGGATCGCATTGAGCCGCACCTGCAGATGAAGCCGAGCTTTCAATAACCCACCTCTATGTATCTGTAACTTGTTTTTATGGTAGTTGCCCATAACAGAGGTCATATACAGGTGTTTTTTAAATGATGGCTTCGTCATCAGTTCTGGCTGCCTTGCTTCTTTTGGTGTCTAAACCCAATGGCAATACTCCAATCTTTGCCCTCATAGAGTACCAAAGTGTGCCGCGTATTCTGTTCCAAGCGCACAGCTTAAGTGTGTGAATTCAGCGCGCGAACCAGAGCCAACCAGAACAATGGCAGCTGAATTCAAACTGCGGTACTCTATATCATAAGATTTGATGCCTCGGAAGCAAAAATGGATAATATTGAGCCAAATCTGCAGATGAGGCCTGGGTTTCACAAACCCACCCGCACCTTTTTTATGGAAGTTGCCCATTACAGGGCTGTATGCCACTCAGGGTAAATGACATCAAAGACGGGCACAAGGGTCACCTGCCCTTGCTTACCCCAAAAGCACACCACTAGAACGGTGCGATAGAGGTACATGCTATGCGCTTCGTGCACGAACAGGAGAGGGTGCTTTTTTACCACTTTTTGAGAGCCCCACTGACAGGACACACCACGTGGCGTGGTGGTTTGTGCTTGTACAGTGCAAATTATGCATAACTAAGTTTATTCTGAATGCGCACAAAGCCAGCATGTGGCGTCGTCGGCAATGCGTTCAAATGTCTCTCCAGGTGTTTTCCCCCAACTCTCCCTTTCTGACCGTTGATGGGGTACCATTATGCACGGAGCTCATCAGACTTGTATGACTCGTGACTCGGACTCGGACTCGAGTCCGACTCGAGGCACATTTTTAATGACTCGGACTTGAGTCACTTTGACTTGCGACTCGGACTCGGGGCTATGGACTCGGACTCGAACTGACTTGTGACTCAACAGAAATTACCGCACTGCACACGCGCACATACGTAAGTCGATCGTTTTCTTTACTGCGCAATACATGTACCGGGCGCTCGATGCGGTGCGTGCATGGCCGTGGCCGGTTACCGATATATTGATTAAAGAAATCAATGTACCGAAACTTGTACCCCGCCGTCCGCACGTAATACTGCATTGGTGCAAGATTGATAGGGTAAGGTACCAGACTTTTCTTGTCAGACGTCCTGTCGTTCACACGTGTATTGCTGTCGCATCGCGATAACGCGATTTGAATAGTCTGCTGATCTGCCCGTTTCGGTAACGTTACATACAAGTTGCATGTAACTAAAATGTACGTTTTTCCAATACAATGTTAGAGGTGACTCGTGACTCGGACTTGGACTCGACCTTTGTGACTCGTGACTCGGACTCGGACTCGACCTGGAGGACTTGGGACTCGGACTTGACACATGTGACTCAGACTCGGACTTGAACGTGATGTTTCGTGACTCGAATACAAGTCTGGAGCTCATACACGACCAATTCTGAAAGCAACGATGGGACTCCTAACAGCTCGTGTTTAGTACAGAACCAACTGGGCAAGGATCAGCACAAATGTGGTAATTGAACCTCTACTACCCCAAAGTGTTTTTTTTAACAGAAATGCTCTTAATTAATAACCCAACCGAACTAGGTTCAAAGAGGCTAGAGAAATTCAGTGTGCATTATCTGTGGGACTCACTTTTCACAAACTGGGAGACATCTTCCATCTGGGGTATGTATTCCTCACTGATGTTGCACTCCTACAAGACAGTAACAAGTCGCAATGGTCATTGCACCCGGAAGCTTATTGGCTCTGAGCATCAGCAAACAAGGGCGCTAATTGCTTACAAATGAAGTTAAGAAAAGGGCATCAATTTTTTTTTTACTGAGAAGCTTCCTTATATAGTCCTGAATACAGTAATGGCACCTGGATGGCTCTGTACAGGAGTAAATGAGGGCGCTATAGTAGCCTAACAAACAGCTAAGTGGAGAGTGTTTTTATCAGGAAGATTCTTGAAACGCAGATATTTGAAATTTTCAGGGGCATCATTCCCACGTTAAGTAGCAGCGGCTGGGCTCCACCTTCCTCAATCCTTCAAAATCTTCCAAACCATACAGGTGGATTTTTTAAGGATTACGGAAACTTACATTTTCAATCTAGTTGTCTAATGGCATAGGCCCTTTTGGCTAAGATGCATCCTCAATCCTGCAAAATTCTCCAACTACCCACCATGTAACACTGGATACTGCCTTAATCCTCAAAACAAACTATAAGTCAAAAAAACACTTTCTGCAAAATTTCCAGAGTTTAGATGTGTTCAACTTTTTACAAATTCCCAGTATGAATTCTTGCCATGACATTAAAAATACACATTCACATTTGCATTCACTTTCGCCCCAAGCATGAACCCAGTCTTTACGAAAAAGTAAATGCATTACATTTTTACCTGGACGAGATCGGGAAAGATCTCATTGAACTCCTTGCAAGCGTTGCTTGGGTACAGGGTCTTGAGCTTACTGAAGATGGCCCCAAACGTCCTGACCTGGTTCTCGCTGTACTCCATGCGAGGTACTGGGGTGCCACTACAGAGGGTTAATATTGGATGAAAAAAAAAATACAATGATCAATGAAAAATAAGTACCATTGTAGTCTCACCAGGATACTCATTGGGGTGGGGATCAGGGGAGGTGGGGTGGGGAGGGGAGGGGGGGGGGGTGTGGTTGGGGGTAGAGAAGGGGTGGGGATAGAGAAGGGGTGGGGGAGGGGAAGAGCAGGAGGGTTGAGGTGAGCATGAGCTAGCAAGCAGTGCAGCATTTCCCATTTAACCACTTTGCGCCGGGATTATTTTTTGCCGAAAATTTAGATTTTCGCAAAGGGCAACATTTTCTAGCCACCTTATACAGCCGAACGCCACAAATACTGGTTCGGAAGAGTCATTTCAACAGTATTTGTACGATATTTCTTGCCGAATCCCTCATGTTTCAATACTCCGAGGTGTGCACTGGAACGTAAATTGTAGAACAGACCGTTCACAGCAGTCAATTCAAGATCAACACACGGTCAGCCTCTACAGACTAATTCACAGACCTTGTGTGTGTGTGTATAAGACACGAGGGTTTAGACATCACCCGGAGGCGAGTCGAGGCAATCTTGACATTTCAATCTGTCAGCAGTGCCTGTGTATAAAAACAGCCAGTGCGTGTTATCACGTCCTCCGAACGCCTGGTTAAAAGCATGGCAACAGTCTTATTAGTGTGGCACATAGTTTTACAACATGGCTGCCTTTTCCGAACACGGGGAATTCCAAGTTTTTCCACTCATGTATTAATGCGGATCATATCAGGAAAATAAATGACAACCTGAAAAGTAAGGCTTGGGATTTTTTTGTTTCATTGAAATTGTTTAAAGCTATAGTCCATCATTTGCAGCCATCCGAAAAGTAACTGGCGTAATTACTGTTGAAAAACAAACTTGGTTGAAAGATAGTAAGGGAACTAAACTCCCTGTGAAATTATTCTTTCTGGGTAGCTGTCATTTTGAAGTAATCAACGAAAGAAGGCATTTCCAACGGTGATTCTTAAGAAGCACCGTAGGAAAATTTAAATTAGTAGTTTGTTTTGTTATTCAGCGCAGCGCGCACAAGTATTGGAACGACGCACACGCGCGCGCAGTTGTTGTAATTCGTCGGATCAGTGCGCGACGTCGCGTATAGCTGCAATTCAAAACAATTCAAAACATGATTCAGTACTTTTGATTTGAAATTGAGATCTTAGAATGCTGCTTTTCTCGGAATGTACAGCTGAAGCTTAGCTGAAACTTCATCAGGTTAGTTGCTCAGTATCCTTCATTAGATTTTGAACACTTTTGTTGCTTCAAACGAACAAAATGCACGAATTACAAATGATGGACTATGGCTTTAAGTGCTGTCTCCAAAGATTTATGCACTCACATGGTGTAGTTCTGCGCAACGTCCCAACATTTCTTGCGGTGAGCTAGGTAGTCTGGATCCTTAGCTCCCTAGAGAAAAAGTTAATTTATCCAGCCTTATGAATGGTGCTTCTTTTGCTATAGGTACAGAAATCCCAGGAAGTTCCTTAATCCTATTTAATAGCTCCATACACTTTACATAAATCTGTGCTCCACAATTCAGTACTCATCGGGTCAGATTAGCAGCAGGACTCTTTGGGTAATAATAATAATTTGGGAGGCTAATCATCCTTACTCGCAGCTAGGAAGCTGAATTGCGAAGGACGCGGCTACGACGTGGTTGGGCCGCTGGCACGTGAAGGCGCCTATGGCTGCCGGCCACATCGACCCATATATGACCACGGAGCACAGCCTGAGATCAAAAGTGTTTGATTTTTCCGGAGGGAGGAAAACTGGAGGGCCCGGAGAAAAACCCTCGTGGCACAGGAGAGAACCAACGCACAAATCTACTCACATGCGATTCGAGGCCAGGATTCAAACCGTGGTCACCTTGGTAAGAGGCGAGCGCTTTACGCACAAGCCACCCATGCCACCACTGCACAGAGTTACCGCTGGGCGTGTAACTCGAATACTTGCGAGTAGTTTATGCTACTCGTTGTTTTACTCAAGGTTTTTCTTCTACTCGAGTTCTCGCCCTAGTGCGAGCAGAAGCAGCTACTGTGATGTGAAAGTGGTGAACGAAGCAGCTAGAAGAATGAGGTGCGACTTGCACGCTTTTTGCTGGTAGTTACTTCCTGTCATACAAACGTATGTCATTCTTCTGCTTTTATGGGAATTTGAATAACTACTCACGAGTACTGGACTATTCGTGAGTATTACTCGCCCAGGCCTACACAGAGCGCCCTCACCGAGGACAGGTTCTGTGTCACTCTGTCATCTGCATTTGCTGTCACTGAATTTAATTTCTAAAAAGCTGTCCTGAGTGATGGCGCGTTCTCTCTGCAAGCTGTTTATAAGTTGCTATGAATGAGTACAGTGTACAAAAACTCGTATTTCAGATGTGGAAACAGATGCCTATTAGGCCAAAAAAAAAAGTCTCCGGTTTCTGGTATGCGCGCGCGTCGCCGTAACCATGCGCGTCGGCAAAATGAAAAAGGTTTTTTTTCAATGAAAGATGATGTCTAAAAACCGCCAAACTCACTGGTTTGACTGGAATCCTGGTGCTGCACAATTTTAACGTGTTTTTAGAGGGGGCTATGATCGAGAATAAGCTTTATGTGGCCTCTCTGGATTCCCGTATATTTGCACTAAGTTTAGTCGGGCACCATTTGCAGTCATCAGCCGACATTTGAAGCAAAAAAATCAGGTAAAAAAAAAAAAAAAGCCGCGTCGCCGCACCACTTTTTGGGCAAGCTCCATACCAGAAACCGGAGACTTTTTTTTGTGGCCTTAACATCATTTTTTTTTTTAAGAAAGGTGAACTGGGAAATGATCAACTTACTGGGTGAGAGGGCTCCAGTTCGGCATAGAGGGGCCGGGTCAAGCACGGATTCATCTCCTCCAAAGTCCTTGGGAACCAGACTGTGGTGAAAAACCAAGACAGGGTAATAAGCCTACTAACCCTAACTCCCCAGCCTAATTTACTAGGAACCATACCCATTCTGGCAAATTCCAACACCCACATGGGAAATTGTACACACACACTGTTGGACTTAGTTTCTGGAGGTATGCCAACCCCAATGTATAAGACCATCAGTTTAGGGGTACGTACTGTACCTATCCCAACAGATTTAAACAAAACCTGCTGTTGAACTTTGATGGGTTGAGTTCGGTTAGGGTCAAAGCTGACCGTCCTGCAGCATACGTGTGGTCTAGCGGTGGAGTACAAAATTCATGATTATGAGGTTGTGGGTTCGAGCCCCGCCGTGGCCATGCGTGTTGTGCCCTTGAGTAAGGCGCTTTACCTCAATTACTCCTCTCAGCCCAGGTGTTAAATGGGTACCAGCATTATTCAATGCTGGGAAGGTAACAGACTCGCTGTGGAGGAGGTGTGGCGATCCCCCCACAGCAGCATTCGAGTCTGGCCCAATCGCTAATGAACGAGAGATGGGCACTCCGTTCCTGTTAACACAGGTTCTTTCCCCAATACCTTTACTTTACTTTTTACAACATACAAAAAATCTTTTCAATTGATTCAGAATGGCTTAGAATTTTGCAGCATAAGCTGCCGTGGTAACGTGATTGAAAGGAAAAATCCAATATGGCCATTCACGTCACATGGAAAATTGACTTATCGCTGACACCAGACAGGGGTATGAAACAATACAATTAAGGCAAGTCTAGTAAGGCTGCATCCGAATCAGCTGTCTAGGCCTATGTCTAGGTCTACGCCCATTGAAACTACGCGGGGACGCTCTGATAGCCGTAGCTCCGGAAGCTTGTTTCAGACATGGCCTGAAGCTGGTCCCAGAGCATATAAAATTCTATTGAATTGACTGAGAATGACTGAAAAGTTCGAGAATGAGTTTTAGTGGAAACCTGATGAAACTGAAAAAAATTTCACTTTCACTTTTTGCATGGAGACTCGACTTATCTTCTTTAAATGTATCATGAAGGCACACGAGACAAGCAGTGCAAGACTATTGCACGTGTGGTGTAGCTGCTTATATGATATGAACTGTGATGCTAAACCAAGACAGTCAGGTTGGCGTAGCGGTACTTTCCTCGCCATCCACCGCTGTGACCCGGGTTCGAATCCCATCTGGGCCAATATGTGGATTGGGTTTTTAGTCCCTGCCTGATTCCGTGGGTTTTCTCCAGGATATTCTGCAGGGCTTTTCCTCCCACCTCTACAACTGTAACTTCTTCTCATTGTCTCCTCTCTACAGGTTTCTTCAGGCTTGCAAGCTACATGCCTAGGGCGCTTTTGAGGAATCCTTGGTTTCATTACCAGAAATGACTTATAAAAATATAGTCTCATAAAGCTTCATCCAGACCAGTGTACGTCACAAGTAACAGTCAGTCAGTCGGGGAGTCAGTCAGACAGACAGTCACAAAGATGACTCTAAGCTGCCTCACTCTAGCGCCATCCTGTACTCCTTACCTGCATCATTCCTTCCTCCCTGTACGACCTCCAGCGATTTCACGCACTCCTTGATCTGCTGTAAGATGTCCGTCAGCTTCGCCTCGCTACCCTCACCTCTCTCCAATACGGCCAGGAATTCCGTGGTAGCAGAAACGGACAGCGACGAGCGGGATTCAATGTGACTCAGCGAGACGCTGTGGTTCTGCAAAATGTACGAGAGTTCAGGATGTGTAATTCAGCTAGTTACATCACACTCTGAAATTGTTCACCCAGTGGTGTCAACATTGCAAACTGGCACCTTAAGATCACTTAATAATAAAAATAATAATCGAGTCTTATATAGCGCACGTATCTACAAACAATTAGGTACTCAAGGTGCTGGAAATTATGTCAATTATTAAAGAAAGGTAAATAAAGTTTATGAGAAATATGAGACCTATTATGTAGCACCTTATAATGGTTTACAAGGTGCTGCGGCGCACATTGCAGCCACTGCCAGAAACACCGGGCAAACCCCTTCTCTTAGCGATAAGTGTTACTGGGTTCTTTAACGTGCATTACACAACACATGGGACCTACGGCTTTACGTTCCATCCGAAGGACGAAGCAATAATGGTAAAGTGCCTTACTCAAGAGCACAAGCACCATGTTCCCACGGTCAGGATTCGAACCCATGCACCACGGCACACGAGTCGAACACCGTAACCATTGGACCACAGCACCCCACAACAAATGGTAGCTAATCCATGACAAGTCCATCCTAAGTCCGGTTACAAGTAAATCACAAGTGACATCAGGGTCATAGAAACATATCAGGGGAGGAACAGGAATGCCTTTGTCACAATCCATTTGAATACAGGGTGAGTAAAAAAAAACGAAAGCCAAATGTTGGGACCATTGTTTTAGGAAAGTTCTGCATGTAGCATTTTCAAAATCTAGGAAATGAAAGCCCAATTCATAAGCTTTCTTTTAGCACAAGAATCATTCAAATCACTCATGTACTTTTCAAGTTACGGAATTTTAAACACAACCACCGTTTTAAGGTTCTGTCCACGGATCGCAAAATAGTTCAGTGTTCTTTCAGCAAACGAAAACAAATCACATAGGGATGGGTGTGAATTGTTTTTGTTTCGCTGAAAGAACGCACACCTTTTTGAGGCCAAGTGTCCGGAGAAAAAAACATGTCTACATTTCGGCGTGGATAATTTTTGTTAGGGGTAGGCTCTTCCAAAGCAATTCTATTGTGACTAGACTACTATCCATCAGACTACTTCACATCTCTGTTGTGCAAATAAAAGACAAATGTTACCCATTTATATAGTAGTCAATAATTATTCAATATGCTGGTCTGCACCTAACACGTCGTAATTTGCAATGCGTCATACGATCCATTTCACAAAGTTACAATGTGTTGAACGCCTAGTACATGTATGTTCCTTGACAACAGTTTAAAACACGTCGTAAGTTACGACGTGTCTTTTGGCCATCGCACAATTAGAAACGTCTTCTCTTAGCGCATTTTATGCCATAAAATATAAATAAACAAGACCATAATACAGAGACACTGTGTGTGAAGTTGTAAATGGAATATGCATCAAATTAAAGATGAATTAGCCTGGAATATTGCAGTTAGGTAATAGTCCATCGTATTTTGTTTTCCTTTAAAAATTCATCATTCGTCCGCCATTTTGTTTTATGTTTTACAAATTTTTTGAGAAGAGAACCGACGACCCTTTGCTGAAAAGCAGACGACCATTTGCTGTGTGTTGAATAAATACAACAGTCGCCATATTTTGCTATAAAAACCCTTACGATGAGTCGCACTGAGATATGTATGTGTTTTGTGACATGAATCGCAGGACGCATCGCAGCTGCGATGCATCGTAGGGATACGACGCATTGCAGCACTGCGACGCATCATAAGTAACAATTGAGTTTCATGAAATCAGGTGCTGGGAACACAAGGATCTACATACCTCCAGTACACACAGGATTTGTGAAAGTCCCTTCACCGTGTTGTCCAGGCTAAAAATGACAGTGACGGACGATGCTTCTTCTCCAGATTTCGTCTTTGAAGCATTGTAGGACTGTTAAAAAGATGGTGGAGGTAAATCCAAAACCCCATGAGATGAGATATGTCACATTAGCAATGCTTAAAGGGAATATACATCATTTGCTTTTGCTGTAATTTTCAGGAATGGATGGAATTGGGGGGTTGGAAATATATAGCAAATATAGTTACCCTGACTTTTTTGAGGTTTTGGGTTTCGAAAATGCTATAAAAACCAAGAAAAACAATCATTTTCCTGTAGTCTGGTTCCCCGACTAAAGGGCGCCCTTTTACCTAGCAACGACATCCCATGGGCGGGACATTTCGCTGGTTGACGCGCACCGTTCCTTGTGCGTGATGCACGTACACCAGGGGATCTGTACTATGTGTACACACGCAGTGGCCGCGCTTCGCGGCAAATGAATTGCAGTCAGGCAAGATGGCGTCAGTCGGTCACCCCCAACTGGACTTCCTTTGCCAGTGAGGGGGTACTTACGAACGGAGCAGATAGGCTTGCCTTGTCTTGTTCGTATTACTCACCGTCATTTTCTGGCGAAGTTCTTCACCCCAGTCACTCTACAGACAAAACAAACATAATGCAATTTTGAATTAACTTTGGACTTAAACACAAGAACAAGACCAATCAGGAAATTTGTTTTGCGCGTTTCTTTTCAACGACTGTTTCGTCAAGCAGTAACATGAAACAGACATCGAATTGGTGGTTTTGATTCGTCTTGCTTGAGATGGGTTTAGTGAAATCAAATCTTGCAAGTAAAAATGCATCTTAGCTAAGATCGATCTTAGAGCAGGGACTCGCCTCAAGTCCTTAGATGAGTCGCAAGATAAGACGAGTTTCCTGAAATCGGCCACTGTATGTTTCCAGCTGATTACCAAAAGTGATCGTTTATTCCTTTTTGAATTTTCACCTGAAAATTTTTCAGCACACCAGAAAATAAATCGTCAGCAAAACCTACCTTTCCCTGTCCTTGCATTTTGAACTTGCTGCTGTCACTTGGAACCTCTTCCATGTTTGGTACCTCCTTGTGGTTTCTGCTTGCAATCAATCAATCAATCAATTCTCTTTCCCCTGTTAGAATTAAACCAAGAAGGTGCTCAGCTGGATATTCAGTTGCAATTAACTTGGAACTTTTAGTAAAGTGTGTATTGTACGGAAGCTTGAATTGCCTTCCGAGATACCGCGTTACCGTGATAATTTATCACAGAAATCCGGAATTCAAAGATAATTCCTTCCTTGATACCGCGTTACCGCGATTATCATCACAGAAATCCGGAATTCAAAGACAAATCGGTAACGAGGAAGGAATTATCTTTGAATTCCGGATTTCTGTGCTAAATTATCGCAGTAACGCGGTATCGCGGAAGGAATTATCTTTGAATTCCGGATTTCTGTGATAAATTATCACAGTAACGCGGTATCGAGGAATACGTATCTTTGAATTCTGGATTTCTGTGATAAATTATCACAGTAACGCGGTATCGAGGAAAAGGTATCTCTGATTTCTGGATTTCTGTGATAAATTATCACAGTAACGCGGTATCGCGGAAGGAATTATCTCTGATTTCTGGATTTCTGTGATAAATTATCGCAGTAACGCGGTATCGTTGAATGATTTATCTTTGATTTCTGGATTTCTGTGATAAATTATCGCAGTAACGCGGTATCGCGGAAGGAATTATCTTTGATTTCCGGATTTCTGCGATAAATTATCGCGGTAACGCGGTATCGCGGAAGGCAATTCAAGCTTCCGTAGTATTGAGGGTCCCAGCACTTAAAAGTTTGTGACAGCATGAAAAACAGAGAGTTGAGTGGCACATGCAATGCATTTAATCAGGGCAACAGTTTTCTAGTGCTGCGTGACATGCACAATAAGCTCTGGTCGTCTTGCATACATTGTAGAATAAATGTTTTAAATGATCCCTGCCAGAGCTTAATAATGTGACGACCAAAAATGCGATGCCACTGGCACATATGGAACACAATACTATAGATTTATACCTACCGGCAGATTTATAGCGATTTGTAATAAATACCACGTGACTATAACATTACTAAACATAATTTGCCTCCATTTACAATTGTTACAAATAATTTTTATTAAAGGGTCAATGCAACACTTGCTTTTACTGTAAGTTTCAGAAATGGATGGATTTGGGGGATTAGTATTCTATAGCAAATTGTTACACTGACTTGTTTGAAGTTTTGTGATCGTACCGGTAGATGCTGGAAAAACTAAGAAAAACAATCATGCTCTTATAGTCCGGTTCCCCAAAATCCCACTTCAATTGAAATGGAGTAATTTATAGATGTCGTTGGGGAATTGTGAGATCAGGGAGTCCAGCTGGCTTACAGCCGTTCATAGGTGTGTAATTGATTGCAAACAAACTTCAGACTAACTAAATGGTAAATTTGGGGCAGTATTTGAAAACAAGCCAGTTTTGTCCAACGCTGGTAAACCGACCGGCATTGCAAATTGATAAAAAAAATACCACTTTTCTTGAAAATGACAGCATACCAGGTGCCGTGATTTTACAGGATGCTTTAGACAGTAATTCACCGATAATTTGGAAGTTTTGTCGACGTTTGATGTTTACAAATATTCCCTGTAAAAGTTTGTGACAACATGAAAAACTGAGAGTTGACTGGCACACGAAATAACCAGGCCAACGATTTTCTAATGCTGCATGGGAAATATTTCAGAAAAGAATCTGGTACCTTTAGTCTCTATAAACACGTACCAACCCCTCCCCTCCCAACCACCCCCCCCCCCCAAAAAAAAAAACATCCACCAAAAACATAAAGCTATTTTCATGATTGTTTCAGTATTTTAAAGAAAAAACTCTAAGCTTTAATCTGATACCCAAAACATAAAAATCCACCGATCCCTTTTTTTGGAAAAGGCAAGTCAAGCCAATGCATTGGCCACCCCGCATTTTTTGTCGCCTGACTTTCTGTCTCATAGCAAAAGACTAAAGGCAATGGAAGCAAAATTTCCAGAGTTGTACTTGTGCCAGTTCCAGTACGCATCAATTGAAGTCCTCTGTCTAGATGATTGTCATTATACAATGAAAGTAATTGCCAATAGCATTAATGCATTACTATATTGCCAGTACTATTATTAGCAATCAGGCAAAGTAGAAACAACTGTCCTTTGCCAAACGGTTCCATCAATACTCGTCTCCCCCCCCCCCCTTCCACGGCTCTAAAAGACAGTACGGTAAAACCCTGAACCCTTTACGTACAAAATGGTGGGAGCCCATATACTTGTTTAAAGCTATAGTCCATCATTTGCAGCCATCCGAAAAAGTAACTGGCGTATTATTGTTGAAAAACATACTTGGTTGAAAGATAGTAAGTGGACAAAACTCCCTGTGAAATTAATCTTTCTGGCAAACTATCATTTTGAAGTAATCAACGAAAGAAGGCCTTTCCAACGATACGTCTTAAGACGCACCATAGGACAATTTAAATTAGTAGTTCGTTTTGTTATTCGGTGCAGCAAGCGCAAGCATTGGCACGACGCACAGGCGCGCGCGGTTGCTAGTGCGCGACATCGCGTATAGCTGCAATTCAAAACAATTCAAAACATGATTCAGCAACTTTTGATTTGAAATTGAGATCCTAGAATGCTGTTTTTCTCGGAATATACAGCTGAAGCTGAGCTGAAACTTCATCAGGTTAGTTGTTCAGTATCATTCATTAGATTTTGAACACTTTTGTTGCTTCAAACGAACGAAATGCACAAATTACAAATGATGGACTATATCTTTAAAGTCCTAAAATTTTGGACTCTCAATAATGTATGGCTATGACTAGTCTGAAAATTTGGGACTCTCAATTCTGTGTATGAACATGGAGAAATGATGAGAGTTCTAAAACTTAAAAGAGCACTAGGTCCTGAAATCCCCAAAAAATTCATGTTTTGGATTGTTTACTTATCCAATTTCAAACATCTGGTCGAAAGGAAACCAACCTAATGTCTTACCGTTCCCGAGAAAAGATGAAAAAAATCCAGTTGTTTACATGGGACACGACGGAGCACGAATACATACATGTATACGTTTATTTTTTTTCCTGTCGGTCTCCATATATACACGTTGTGTGTGTCTTACACACATACACAGCACCGTGTTAGCTCGTGAGCAGCGGTGACCATTCACAATGTACAAAATATGGTTTCTTGCACGTCCGCAAAAGGCAAACACTTTACGGATAAAATCACAACTACCGGAAGCACCCAAACAGCTCAACTTTTTGGGGCCGCAAAAGTGGACCCGGAAAGACGTTCTCGCACGCTACAGGAATAACACAAAAAAGCCCAGTTTTTAAAGGATAGTTGTGTGGATGTTTATCCTACTTTTAACCCTAACCCCCTAGGCCCTTGTTGCTTACAACCATCCTCAATCCTCCAAAATCCTCCAAAATTTTGCAACTCCGCCTAAATTTTTCAAAATTGTCAGACAGTCCTGCCTCAAAATGCATTCATCCTCAATCCTCCAAAATCCTCCTCATCCCAAAACTTTGCACTCGTGTTTAAATGAAGGATAACCAACGCCAAATCCTTCAAAATCATCAGACAGTCCTGCCTCAAAATGCATTCATCCTCAATCCTCCAAAATCCTCTTGTGCTTCATTCACCATTCATCCTCAATCCTCCAAAATCCTCATGTGCTTCAATCACCATTCATCCTCAATCCTCCAGAATCCTCATTTGATTCAATCACCATTCATCCTCAATCCTCTAGAATCCTCCAAAACCGCCAGGAGGATTTTGGAGGAGTGAGGTGGGTTAGGGTTAAAATTAAATGTTCTTTTTCGATTAACATCATTTTGTTCAAAGCGCATTTTTTTCCCAGCCCAATTGGGCTGTTCCAGGACGCATATTGTTCCTTTAAGGTCCCAGTCTGCCAGTCCATAACACTATTCTATGGCCACGCACTATACAGGGTGGATAAAACACACCAAAACCGAGATATTACTGCTAATTGGAACAGAAGTAGGGCACTCGTATGTGAATCACAGGGAGATATCCTCTGTAAGGGTTGAATCTCCTCTTTAAAATGACACCCTGATCATGTCCTTACATTCACGGTTGACTGAGCAGTGACCAATTTTATGAAAGGGTCTATTTAGAGAATTGCGCTACTTTTCATGGTGAAATCTTTTTTCCCCACTTGCCTTGATTAGCAACCATAGCCTTTCACTCTGTGACAACCATGACAACTGACACCACAAAAACCACAATTGAAAAGTGGCGCATTTTTGTTTTACAGTTTTACACAAATAACTTTGAAAAACAGCAAAACGGTCAGTATTGAATACAGACTCTTTTTTTTAATTTCAGTGTCATACTCACAGTTAACAGTCGGTGCGCGTGGTGCATTTTGTGGCAGTGGGCAAGGGGGAGGGGTGGAGGGGGACCATATAGGCCTACACTTAGTCCGAGTAACTTGGACCCAACTTATCGCCTTTTTAACATTCGGACATGGTCTACTATCACCAGACCATGTCCGAATGTTAAAAAGGCGATAAGTTGGGTCCAAGCATGGAGCTATATAGCTCCATGGTCCAAGTTACTCAGACTAGGCATATCGTCAGACCGCCTAAAGCTACGCTCTCCTATTTCTGCGCACTCGCATTTAAGTTATATTTTGCAAGGCATGCATCCTAAAAAATGACAAACTTTCACTGGGATCGTATGCTTTGATGCACGAACTTTAACCAGCAGCCGGAAAAAAATTGGAAATTGAAGGCTTTACCGGGAATTCAGGCACAATATGAAAAACATCGGCATTTTACAGCTAATTACTAAGTACAAACGCAGGCAGATGCTTCCGGACCTGCAGAAGTCAAAAATATGACCGAAAGGTGACCATTCTTGGTCTCCCAATATCGTCAGTATTTAATATAGTTAAGATGTCATAGATAAGAATTTGCAGTTTCTACCAGGGTGTAAAACTTACGGTGCAACTAAAAAGACACAATTCTTATATTTTTTGGGAAATTTTTTGGTCGTAAGTTTTAAAATTCGACATCTTAAAAACTGTCTCTGTTGATTGGGATGATCAGAATAACAATATCATTGGGATCTACATTTAATAGGTAAATATGTATAAAATCTATTTATGTAAATATGTAAATTTTAGCCCTTGTATAAATCATGGAGGAAGGAATAGATTCCTTCCTCCATGTATAAATCTCGAAAATAGGATATTGAAAATAATCTTGAAATTACAAAAAGTGTATTGGCATTGAAAAAAAGAAAGGAAAAAGAAAGAAAATTTGTTTGAAAAGCTCAGAAAATATATTTTCCTAAAGCCAACAAGTCTAAGTTATTAAAAAAAATGTTTTTATTGGGTTACATGGCCCGGACAGCACGTATTTTTCATGAAGTGTCCCCTGTGCAGAATTAGGCAGGATTATTTTCTACAACGCCAAAACTGCACGCTTTGGAATTCCCCGCTTGCTGCCACAAATAAAGAGATTTTGCTTTGTTAATCGGTACGGTGGATGATCGTTAGCCAACAATATAAGTTTTGTTGAGGAAAAGAGTGGTTGCTTTGCTATTTTTAAGCTACTTGGTTACAAAGCCTTATCTGCGCAGAAATAAATAGGAGGATCGAGGGTTTCGATCCAACTCGGACCCAAACCAACTCGGACCCAAGCCAACTCGGACCCATGCCAACTCGGACCCACTACCAACTCGGACCCATGCCAACTCGGACCCACTACCAACTCGGACCCACGACCAACTCGGACCCACTACCAACTCGGACCCACAACCAACTCGGACCCACAACCAACTCGGACCCATGCATGACCAACTCGGACCCATCGTTTTCAATCATTCGACATCGTTTTCAATCATTCATTTCATAAAGTTTGTCCACTTCTCATCTGTTATTACAGTGATGCTGTTTAGTATAAATTTTCATTGTAATTGTAAGGTAAATAATCTCATATCTGTATTGCAGCAGTATAACATTTTTGTCGTTGTAAAGCGCATTAAAATGCTATTTTGAAATGCTCTTTAAAAGTGTAATTAATTATTTATTATTTGTATTTGTTTCCATTAAACCATATTCTGCTTTAAAAGTTTAACCAATTATTTATTTTCATTCAAACATATTAATTGACATCGTTCACTCCATCTTGCTAAATTTAACAGCAATTTATTTCGTTTTTACTCCAAACTTCAACGTAACGAGTATACAAATTAAGAAATTCAGATCTTCATAGAAAAATAAAATTGGAAAGTATGGCATTAAAACATTAGGGCCTAACACTTTCAAACATAACATTATTAACTCAATAAATATAAGTAAACATTAGAAATCAATAAATAAAATAAATAAGACATAAAAACGAAGTCTATTCTAATCTCTATTTAAAAAAAAAACCCACATAAACACCATTGCATACACTGCAAGAAAAACGAAGGTTCCATATTAAACAAAAAAGTAAAATCAAAAAGTATAAAAAGTTAATCGGATTCGTAAAAAAAACCCACAAAATTTAAAGCCAGCATGTAAATTAAAAAATGATCAAGTTTAATCCCCTACAAATAGATGCAATGTCAATCATCAAAAAGGAGTATTGAAGCTCTGGGAAGATTATCCTTCAAGACCTTACAGGTAGCTGCCTGTATGTTCCACTATGATGTTCCACGGGGGGAAATGTTAAATCAAAAAATTATTAAAAGTTAAACAGATTCATAAAAAAATCCCACAAAATTCAAAGCCAGCATGTGAATTAAAAACCCCCAAACAATTACATGAAATGAAGGCCTAAATAGTTATTTCAAATTAATAACTTCCTCACTGAAACAAAATGTGCCACTTAAAACCACTTGTTACACGACACAAAGGCCTGCAAAAGCAAACAAGTAATATATTTTGTAATATATTTTTTACTGAAAATTATAATCCTTTGAATTTCGTTTGGAAAAGACAATCGAGATTTTGAAAAAGCACGTATATATCAAGTTGTACAAATGACATACGATATGCCTAACCTATACTATACGCTATTAATACCTCTTGGTTTAGCTTCACAGGTCACCTATAAATATAATCTCTGAAACTAATGATTGAGTCATTGTTGGGTCCGAGTTGGTCGTGCTTGGGTCCGAGTTGGTAGTGGGTCCGAGTTGGTAGTGGGTCCGAGTTGGTCGTGGGTCCGAGTTGGTCGTGGGTCCGAGTTGGTAGTGGGTCCGAGTTGGTAGTGGGTCCGAGTTGGCGTGGGTCCGAGTTGGCATGGGTCCGACTTGGCATGGGTCCGACTTGGTTTGGGTCCGAGTTGACCTGATACCGGATCGAGGATACACTGTGTTCCTAGCCCTGGTGGACTCCCTTTCCTCCCTACGTTACGGAGGGAGTCCTGAGTACACATGTGATCACAACCGAACGAAAACGAACCGAACGAATTTCTTACCAATAATTTCCATATTTTTACCTTGTTGGAGAAGCTAAATTTACGTCGTAGTATTCTATGTGTCCTTATCTGTTAGTACGCTGGGTTCAGGAATTCCATATGCGATGCTGACTGACGTCAATCAGGAAAATAAACTCGAAAGCATCGTTAAACTTGTACGTGTTTAGTCTCTTTTCATCAGTTTCTCACCGCCGAGTCTATTCTAGTCGTACATATCATACCATGAACGTCTGTGCAGCGTGTAGTCTGGTTCCCTAGACCGGACAATTATTCTCGACGCTCATATCACATCTGGTCCGAGGGACAGACTATGCTGCATGAATATGCAGTGCGCACGCGCGATTTGCTTAGTAACCATCCTCATACGCACGCGCACTTACTTGAAGGCGCGGTCGCTAATCCAATGACCGAGCGTGTTTTCGCGCCAGTTACCAGAAACACGTTTCGGCTTTGGTCATTGGTTGAGCGTTTTCGTGACATCGGTTGGCTGGAGTGACGTCACGGTTCCAACCAAAACTAAACAAATGAGGGCGCTAGCGTGCGTGCGCGCTTTCGGATCGTACGCACGTACATTTTGTACATTGTACATTATGCATGTCGTACGACTCTGGGAATAAACTGATGAAAAGAGACTACAAACACGTACAAGTTTAACGTTGCTTTTGAGTTTATTTTCCTGATTAACGTCAGTCAGCATCGCATATGGAATTCCTGAACCCAGTGGTCAATAGATAAGGATACATAGAGTATGTAGGCGTGAAATAAGCTTCTATAACGAGGTAAAACATAACAAAACTCTGGTAAAAATGTTGGGATGGTTTCATGTCGAAAAGTCTTGTCCTGGACGTTAGTCGTATTGCAATGAAGACTTCGTCCAACCTGGGCTAACTGTGTTCCTTGCTCTATGACTTTGTGTTTGTGCATACCCTCGGATCGCGAGGATAAAAAGGCCCTAAAAAACTGGTAAAGAGAATACAAATGAGAAAGACAGTAACCCTGGATAGATCCACACATTCATGACATTCCATAAGACCCCTTAAATTGTTCCAAACAACCTGTAATTTTGAAAGAAAGAATAAATATTCTGATGGTGATACTTACCGCTCACAATCCAATGTGTCGACCGAGTTGTGCTAGATCGATCAGCAGTAGTCCATTTCATTGTTGCTGATCGATCGATCGAGCACATGTGCGACATGTGACGTCACCATCGAACAAAAACAAATCGCGCTTAATCAACGACTGTTTCGTGTAGTGATAATGTGCCCCGGCCCCGCGCGCGCGCCGTCTGACACTTTTTGGCGCGGACGAGACGAAAAGTTATTATTTTCTTTTGGAGGGGGGGGGGGGGGGGGGGGGGGGGGGTGGCTACAGTAAAGTGCTCCAGCCATGTTTAATCTAAAAAAAAATAATGCCGCCGCCGGCCTCAATCATGCATGACGTTTTCAGTATCAATAATAGTTATCATCAAGGCGTTATTATCAATGAGTGACGACCATAGAGCTGTATAATAAAGAACTTTACAGCTCTATGGTGACGACTCTGTTTTGCTCATTAGGCCAAAAAAAAAATCTCCGGTTTCTGGAATGGAGCTTGCCCAAAAAGTGGTGCGGCGACGCGGCTTTTTTTTTGTACCTGATTTTGGGGACCCTATTGTCCTCTATTGCTCAACGTCCCCTATTGCATGCAGAAACAAACTCACAAAACACTCCTCTGCTTTATAAAGCCTTTAAGCAAGAATTGGGTTTTTAAATGTACAGAAAAGCCCCTTAACCCATACTTCTCACCACAACGGTATCAACCTCTTCCCTAGTTATTTCCAACCTCGTTTGCAATAGTAAGCCCTGGAAAGGAAACTTTCTTCCTGTATCTGGCGGTCATAACCAAGAATTGGTTCGGTGGTTTCTCTTTGGTTAATTGTTCTGGGGAATTGAGTACTACATGATCACGTGTAATTCTAACCCAATTAAAATTGCCGAAGAAATTCACCGAGAAGAAACCACCGAACCAATTCTTGGTTATGACCGCCAAAACGCACCCCTGATTCGATATCGCAATTCGCTAATAATGGATATATATCGTGTAGTTGGTGTTGTTATTTCCAACGTGCATTACGTGTAATTTTCACGATTATTGTAATTATAACGTCCACGCCTTCTCAATAATACTCTTTTTCTTTCCAGTTTGCTCTTATAAATATGAAATGTGATACTGCATATTGGCGGACCAGATTATAACATTTTAACTTCCTATTGTTTTTATATAACTCAAGGCGCGACGAATTGATGCTGTTTTTACCCCAGACACCGCATACAAAAACAAACCGGTTTGTAACGCACATGCAGGCACCAGACAATTCCTCATTTGCATGCGTGTTCAAGAATCTTGCACATGCAAATGGTCCAATACCAGGCCTCAGGGTGAGAGAGCAGGTAGTGGTGGGCGCGTACTGCTCGACACCCTGGGGGACGAGGTTGCAACGGTATAGACCATTAATATCATGTTGCGGCCATCATGATTTTTTTCCCATTCAAATCAACGTAACGAAAGCAAAGCTGGAAGGAAATATACTCTGGTTCCTTTTTGCACAAAATCATTATCATTCAGTTCTGTTATTGGATACAGGGAACACGACTGGAATGGTGGCAGCATGATATAGGTCTATGAAGATGGAGGTCACGGATAAATAATACATGCTAATTTCTAACATTCGCTTACACGGTGTTATAATCTCTTCAAAGTCATGTTGGATATTAAGAAAGTTCATGCAAAAAAAAAACGAGTTAAATCTGGATTTTGGCGACAAATTATGCAGCCTGTACATATTTTTAAATCTTGCCCCTTAAAGGGGCTAGGGTTCTTTTTTATCTTTTTTTTTATACAGGATATTAAATCCACGACCGTGTCATCATGTCACAAACGTAACCATTATAGATTTTCCCGGCTATTTTAAAACATTTTTTTCATTCAGATTCACCAACTTTAACATTTAATTTCGTCCGAGAAAAATTTCACATGTTTTTAACAAAACCAATTTAGAGTCATTTACCATTCAATTTCAAAGTTTAGTCACCAGGTCGAGAATATTCGTCATTACAGATCAACTTCGGCTAAAGCTGTTGCCGAATGGCAGCATGCAGAGATCGAATTCGTCTTATATAAATCAATTGGACGAATTTGATTTCTGAATAACACGATTCGGCGTATAGACACGAAATCGAATACATCGGGTCGAAAACGTGTGCTCTTTGTGTTTGAATTTGTTTGGACTAAATTTGAAATTGTCTGACAAAAGACGAAATTATACATTGAAAGTGCACTAAATCGATGTTGCTGGACGAAATTGAATATAAGAATCGGTGAATTCGAACGAATTTTTAAAAAAATAGCCGGGAAAACCTATACATGTATTTTCTAGTTAGTTTATCCAAAGTACGGAGGCGTTAAAGGGCCATAATACAAACTAAAAAGATAATAAAAACTAGGTCATAATTATGACTTATTATTAAGTCATAGTTATGACTTATATCTTATAATAATGACTTAGTGTTAAGTTATAATTATGATATATATCTCACAATTACGACTTAGTAATTGTTGAATCATAATTGTGACTTATATCTCATATTTATGACTTATTATTAAGTCATAGTTATGATTTATATCTTATAATATTGACTTATTATTAAGTCATAATTATAACATATATCTTATTATTACGACTTAGTATTAAGTCGTAATTACGACTTAGGATATCTCATAATAATGACTTAATACTAAGTCATTATTATAACATATAAGTCATAAATATGACTTAATAATATGTCATAATTATGAGATATAAGTCATAATTATGATTTAACATTTACTAAGTCGTAATTATGAGATATAAGTCATATTTATGACTAAATACTAAGTCATTATCATTAGATATAAGTCATGACAATGACTTAATAATAAGTCATAATTATGAGATATAATTCATCATTAGGACTTCTTTTTGTTTTTTTTAGTTTGGATTATGTCGCTTTAACGCTTCGATCCGTACCAAAGCAATGAGTTAATTTTGCGTATTCTACGGCGAAGCAATATTATACGGAGCGTATAATTAACATTTTCCAAGGTCATGCAGTCCTTATCGGATTGTTAATTTTTAACTAATACTCGTGCATACATAATTCGACGTTGGTAGTAAGTTATTATCATGATTAATAAAGTATAATCCTTGCCAATTAACGCCTGTTCGCATTAGCTTCTCTTTACAGTATGGTGGCCCTGAAAGGACGTGAATGGTACTTTTTCTTGTCGAAAAAAAACCTTTCGCAAAGGCATTTTTACGACTCATGAATTGACGATTATTTTTCTTAGGAACACATTTTGTGCAACTTTATACTTCTCTTAAATGTATCACGAAAACTATTTGACATCCCTTTTTGGGTTAATTTTATTGAAAATTGCACTTCTTAAACATTTGTTTAAAATGTCATGCTTTTCTTGACATGACAACTGAGGGCGCTGTCGCTAAGATGTCATTTCCCGGAAGACCCTGTTCAGTTAAGGAGCTTTCCGACTGTTTTAAATTGTGAACCCAAAATGTTCTCATTGAAAACATTTAGTGAGCAAGGGTTGCTCATGGGCTTACTGCCATGTATTGACAGAACAACGAATCACCAAAGAAAAGAAAATTTATAACAGCAAAACATCCACAATTCTAGCAACTTGTGCTGCTGAAAGGCTGTAACATTGAGGTTTCTCCCCGGAATGACATCACAGTTTTTCTCATGAAAATGGAAATTTTCATTAGCATAAAAACCAAAAGGATACCAAAATACCCTTCAAAAACTCAAAACGAAAGTTGAAAATAAAGAAAAATGGGACACAACGGTGCATTTTCAAAGATAGCATTAGAAATATTACATTTGCCATTACGGTCGCAATATGCTTCCACGTGAAACTTTTGCGATAAAGTATTTTTTTTACAAAAGTGCATGTCTCTCAAGGGTCACCACACTCTTGAGCACTTTGTAATAAAGATAAATGGGACACAACGGTGTATTTTCAAAGATAGCATTAAAAATATTACATTTGCCATTACGGTCGCAATATACTTCCATGTGAAACTTTTGCGATAAAGTTTTTTTTACAACAGTGCATGTCTCTCAAGGGTCACCACACTCTTGAGCACTTTGCAATCAAATTTTGGAGTGCATGTTAGTCGGCAAAAAAAAATTGCAAAAGGGAACTGGTGACTCAACCTCGTTCCCATGGCTTTCAGCAGTACCCTCCCACTAGCTGATCTCTCACCCTGGTACTGGATCATTTGCATGTCAAAAATCCTGCCATTTTATTGTGCTCCGGGGAACAGACGGAAATAAAATACATACACGATTATACATCCGTTGCTTGCTATGACGGAATCGAATCAGAATACAGAAAGCACTTGTTTCCTACCAGGGTCTACTATTGTCTCGAGATTATACATGTACACCCTGGGAAGGAGGTAGCAACACCCTTGGATACGAGCGAACGAAAGAAAGTGCTTAGCCGTTGTTGCCAAGCGAACAAAACATGACGTCGTTTGCTCATCTCTGTTATGACTATAATTTTGGACGCTATGGACTAAATTTCTCAAAATTTAGATAAGTGCGGGTTTCAGATGAAGCCACTCATTCAGAGAAAATAAGTGAGCGTCGCAAGAATGCTTTTCAGATTCGCTTCTTCGCTGCTTTGGACAGCTGCCTTTGGTGAGTGCCTGATGTTTCCCTTTTGTTTTTGCTGAGCAAAGTTATCCTTTGGAGCAAAACAATTGAATCATTTTGAAACAACTGAATCATTGCTCTTTCTGTATTTTTTTTTTCATTTAAAGCAACGGAATTGCTTAAAATCTTGGGTGCACAACGATACTAACGTGTTAAAGGTTTAGCTCAGTGGCATTAGGGGGCCTACCCAATACATTTTAAGAAAACAGAAAAAAATGAACTTTTTTTGGCGCTCGTAACTGATTTCCGATGCTAACGCACGCAAAGAGTATGCACGCGGGCACCTTCAGGTTGCAGACCAGTAAATAAACTTCCATTGACCCCAATGGTAAATGCTCCCACTTCAGAAATTCGGAAAAAAATACTCACAACTCTCCAAGGTGTTTGAGACACACATCAAATTAAAGCTTATTTCGTCATCTTTCATTTTCTTTTCAATTTTTGGGGGTCAACTGATGACTTTTAGGAGAAATTTCCATCCGAAGATGATCACCCCTGAAAATAGTCCTGAAGCCCAACGCCATTTTGAAAAACGATGCCTACACTCCATTGCAAAATAGAGCGCTTTATAAGGGCCCCAATTTCATCCAAATTGAACGGAACTACAAGCTCACAGTCCTGTGCACGGCTTCCACCCATATTTTTTTACAAACCCTCCATTCATGGCCCACAGTATGCTCAAATACTGAAGAATTTGAGGGCATGCAAATCGTGATTTGGCCGGCGTAGGCAATTTCGGACCGATTTACTGGTCTGCAACCTTCAGTGCTGTTTTCTTTCGATCAAAATATCAGAATAAAATGTGGAATAGTCGAGAGTGATAAATACATTTTTTCAATTGCATGTTTTATTCCATAACTGATACTTTTGAACTGCATGAAGAGAGGGCAACGGAATAAACTTCACCTTACAAACGATCTCTCGGCGCAGTTTCAAATCAGTAGGGAAGCTGAATCATAATTCGCAATTTGTGTGAGAAACGCTATAGGTTTCCCCACATCACATTAAAAACTTTTTTGTTCATTCAAATTCATAAATGGTTGACTTCAATTTTTTTTCTCGAGAATACTAGAACGCGCAAATGCTACTCTTCCTATTAATGTAGTTGTTGGTCATTCCAATTGATCAATGGTCAATCAATTTCAACATTTGTCCATTCGATGTCGTCAAATTTCAAAGGAATTCGTCTCACCTGGTGATCATCTACATAATGTAGTGATTGAATTCGTCTTTGTTCAATCAATTTCAAGAAGTTTTCGATCAAATTCAGCAGACAAAATAATGCGCACGCTGCATTTGACACCGTAGTTGCAAGACACGAAATGGAAGGTGTAACAACCAATCCAAAGGACAAGAAGAAGAAATGAATTGACTGTTTTCGAAAGATGTGAAACTTGATATAAATGCACTTTGCTTTTCATAATTATGGGCCTACTTATTTCCTGCATAAAATGGAAAGTACATATTTCATTTGCCTGTGTATACCTTATTTCTTTCAGTTGTTGACGTATAAATTGTCAAAGAACTAAATGGATACACAAATAAGTATTGAAAAAGATAACAATTTTGCATAATAATTATACATGAAAAAAAAATGCTTATTTAAGGTTAAAGACCTACGTTAAACAAGGAATACTTAACTGACATAACAAAATAAAGTAAATGAGTTTAAAGTAGAAATGAACAGATGAAAACGTGAAAATACCAAAGATAGCATACAATCATTAGACGAATTTGAATGAAGTGTATATAAAGTTGATTGCAAAATGACGAAATTGATTCATCTATCGTACGTTCGGCAAATGTAGACGACGGAAAGTGAATTGTCTTTCACGAGAAAGTATGGATAAGGTATGAAATTGTTTGAACAAAGTGCAAAAATGAGTGACCGACAAAAACGTAATTGAGCATTTGGTATGCAAGATCATGAATTTTCAAGACGAAATTAAAGTGAACCGTATATGAATTTGAAAAAAAGTTTGTAAATGTGCGGACAAACCTATATTATGCAAAATTGTATCTTTTCAGTACTTATTCGTGTATTCATTTAGTTCTCTGACAATTTTATGCGTCAACAACCGAAAGGAATGAGGTATGCACAGGCAAATGAAAATGCTTATGCTTTCCCTTTCATGCAAGAAATAAGTAGGCGCAGTGGCGAAGCCAGGAATTTTTCAGTGGGGGGCGCTGGGGGGGGGGGGGGGCTGGAACATTTCATGGGGGGGCGTCATGTAGGGGCGTCAATCGCTTCTCAAATCAGAACTGATGCGAGCGCGAAGGGCCCCTAAAAAAATTGGATTCTATATGTTCTGTGGTGTGATCTGAAGCAATTTCTTACGACTTTCCTCCATGCTTTAACTAATATTTTCTTAGCAAAAGATAATTATTTGAACATCGTTTTCGAGGTTGGAGTAATTGAATCAGCTATCGGTATTCTGAGCTATAGGCGTGGGGTTCGGGGCCCGCTTAAGGGCCCCGAAAAAAATTGGATTCTCGATGCTTTGTGGTGTGATCTGAGTCAATTTCTTACCACTTTAACCAATAATTATCTTAGCACAAAAGATAATAATTTAAACATAATTTTCGAGGTTTTCTCATCTAAAGGCATAAGAAATTTTTTTGAACATTGTTTTCGAGGTTGGAGTCATTGAATCAGCTACCAGAATTCGGAGCTATACGTGTGGGGTTCGGGGCCCGCTTAAGAGCCCCGAAATTTTGGATTCTAAATGCTCTGTGGTGCTATCTGAGGCAATTTCTGACCACTTTAACCAATATTTTCTAAGCAAAAGACACATTGTAGTTCATAATAGGGCCCTGTAAATGAGACACGAGTTCAAAAATCTGGGGGGGGGGACATTTGATATTGTGTCCCCCACCCTTCAAAAGGGGGGGGGGGACCAGTCCCCCTGTCCCCCCAGGATCGACGTCCATGGCGTCATGTAGATCAATGATAATTTTTTTAGAAACTTAAAATCTCAGTGGGGCGGGGGGGGGGGGGACTGGGGGGGGGCGACAAGGTTTCACACGCCCCCCCCCCCCCCCCCGTGGCTACGCCACTGATTTCAAGGAATTTTAATTGGTCTATTATTATTATTTAGCTTATATGAATGGAGGAAAAAGTTTGTGCGTGGCCGATTCGCGTGATATCGCTGACTGAAACTGTGTGACCCACGGACCACCTGTCTATAATACGTGTTCCGTGGTGTGAGCGAGCAGTGCAGTGGGTGTTAATACGCATTTTAGATTATCATTATGCGCTATGTCACGCCGGTTGTCAGCTTACTGGTCCACGGTCGCCGGTCGAAGGGTCGTTTCTCAGTGGTCATCATGTGGATCATTCGCGACTATTTAGATTTAGATCAATGATAATTTTTTAGAAACTCAAAATCTCAGTGGGGGGCGACTGGGGGGCGACAAGGTTTCATGGGGGGGGGGGCGGTCACCCCCACCCCCCCCCCCCCGGTGGCTACGCCACTGAGTAGGCGTAAAATAAATAAAAGAAAAATGCATTCATATTTTAGCATCTTTCAAAAACAGTAAATTCACTTCTTCTTCTTCTTCTTCTTGTCCTTTGGATTGGTTGTTAAACCTTCAATGTCTTGTCTTGCAGTACACCATGCCAAATACGTCTGTGCATGGTATACCAGCGTGCGCATTTGACTGCTGAATTTGATCGAACATTTCTTAAAATCGAATGAACAAAGACGAATTCAATCCTTACAATTATTATGTAGACGGTCATCAGGTGAGACGTCCATTGGAATTTGACATCTAATAGACAATTGTTGAAATCGATCGACCATTGATCAATAATGGAATAACCAACGACTATTGTAGCATTTGCTCGTTCCAGTCTTCTCGAGACGAAATTGGAGTTAACCGTTTATGAATTTGAATGGAAAAAAGTTTTCAAATGTGCGGGAAAACCTATATTACCAGTATTTTTTGGGGGTGTCAGAGCGGGGGGGGGGGGGGGGTTCGCATTATTTTTAATGAATTTCTACGAAAAATAAAATTGACATAGCTGTTTTTTTTAACCCCCCGCCACCCCCCCCCCCCCCTGGAACCGCGCCTGGGGAGGGTACAAGGGCAAACAGGCCATCGAACGTGTACCGGTATCCCCAGCCCCCCGCCCCAACCCTACCCCCAAAGGTACACCCCTCGGTTCATAGGTTACAACGCTCTCTTACGACTCTCATGCCTTTAGCTAGCCAACCAAATCCGTCTCGTTTTTTTTACCTATTTCATTTCCGAAGTTAATTTTGGAGCTTTGGGTGTGTCAGCCAAGACCTGCTACTACGGCCAGGAGCCGGACCCGAGTCGCGGGGGCAAGCTCCGCTGGACCGTGTCCCTGGGAGCCGGTGCCGGCGGGGATCTATGCTCCTGCACCAGCCTAAGACCGGGCGCCTTGAGCGTGATCACACCGAGCAGACGCGGCCAGCCTCTCTACACGGACCGGCCGGTATTCACCGACGACCAGCAAGAGATTATGGACCTCTTCGACTGCCACGGTGAGAACAAAAACTTTTTTTTAGATCAAGCTTCAGTTTAAAGATGTATTTTCTGAGCTTTCCTGCATACGGGGTCTACTCGATGTTCTCCAATACATAATACAGGCCCATGGGCGTCGCCAGGATTTTTTCTAGAGGGGGGCAAAACATATTTTTCCCCAAAAAAATCCTGTATTTCTCAACATATTCCGAATTTCTCAGTTTTAGAGGGGGGCAGGGACATTTCCCCACCCCCCACTATGACTTTGCGTCTCTTTTTCTTTTCTTTTTCTTCTTCTTTTTTTCTTCCTTTTTTTTTTTTTTTTTTTTGCTTTTCCATGGGGGGGGGGGGGGGGGGGGGGCAAGCGCCCCCTTGCTCCCCCCTCGCGACGCCCATGTACAGGCCTTTGTTCCCATATACCGAAGTTCCCCGAAATCCTTAGGATTAAGGTTAGGGTTAGGGTAGTAGGGTTGAAAAACATATGTATTGGGGAACATAGTTATCGGGGAACATATATGCACCCGCGCTTTCTATTTTTTTTTGTTGGCGTTTTAATTGCAACCCACATGGTTTTATTTTCGGTTGCTTTGCGTGCAAAAGTTATACAGTACGTGGCCTCCAACAAATTCAATTATTTTTTTATCTTGACAATTTTTGTCTCCTGTGCCTTATTTTCGCAATAATATATCCATGTATATTATATCTAATGAAATCGGCATCTATCACAATCAAAAGTGCTCGTTACATCTCTTCAGAGCTTTTATGCAATAAGTTCAGGATACGAGTTGATTGAACTTTGGCATTTTTTTCCTTCTGGACAGACTGTAACTTTGTACCGTATGGCACTCATCAGCAGAATGACATTTTGTCGTCTGAGACATCCCTCTGAAAAAAAAGTGTTTCTTTCTGGTGCCTAACGACAAGACCTGCACACTAATTGTCTCTTTCCAGATTTGTGTATGGTCTTCCCCATGCAACGCCATTGCTATTTTAGATCGTTAGCTTCGTCAATTACATCGTTCATTTGGCAAATTCAGTGGCGCACTGAAAAAAAAGTGTTTCTTTCTGGTGCCTAACAAGACCTGCACACTAATTGTCTCTTTCCAGATTTGTGTATGGTCTTCCCCATGCAATTTGTTTGTTTGTTTGTTTTTTGAAATTTTAATTTTTTTTAAAAAATGTTGCCAAACATCATTTTTTGGCTGCAAAAAAAAAGAAAATTGATTTTTTTTTTTTTTTGGGGGGGGGGAGTTTTTTACGTTGGCGGCGCCATTTACTACACCCCTATTACACTACTCGAAAATAGGCCATATAAAATCACCACGGTCAAATCGTGAGACTAAATTTTTTTTTTACAACCTCATGGGGGGGAGCCCCCCCTCATGGGGGGGGGGGCCCCCCCCCCCCCCCCCCAGGCGCCCCCCACCCTCCCTTGGTGCGCCACTCGGCGAACTCGTCATTCCGTTCGACAATTTCACCATTCCGTTCGGCAATTTCACAATTCCGTTCGGCAAATTGCCGAATTCAATGATGAAGTTGACGAAGCTAACCATCTTAAACCACCGAAGATAGCACTGGCGTTCCATACTTCCCCACTTATTTGATTTGTCTTTCCTTTTTGTGGGTTTTGCAGCTGATGGGAGCATTCGCCTCGTCGACGGGAACGGTCATCTCAACCCGATAGAAGGCAGGGTCGAGGTCTACTACGGCAGTGAATGGGGAACCGTTTGCGATGATTTCTGGAATAAATATGATGGGATCGTAGTCTGCCGACAACTCGGCTACTCGTACCCGTATGTCCAGGAGGTATTGCCACTTGCGCACTTCGGGAAGGGAAAGGGGCCAATACACCTGGACAACGTAAGGTGTTTAGGAAGCGAGGCTAGCTTGGCCGGATGTCGCCACGTAGGTTGGGGCGTCCATGACTGCTTTCACTACGAAGATGCCGGGGTCCGGTGCGCAACTAATGTTTCTTCTGCAGCCTAATATCTTGTCACATTACGTGAAAAAAACCGAACAGTGAATGTTATTTGAAATAACATCATTAAGTTTAGATTTGAGAGCCACTTTTTCATCATATGATTATCTCAAGGAAGGTCCGTCGTTGCAAAAAATAACCGTTTAAATCACTATAGCCTTTCGCGTGTGTCGGCCGGACGCGTGGCGCCTCAGATTCTGGCACGGAAAAAAAATAGACCAATGCGAGCTTCGCCACTCGCACTGGTCTTGGTTCGTGCCAGCTGGCCAGCATCCGGGGCGCCGGCCACACGTCGGGAATAATAATATAGCCACGCGGGCCTCGACTAAAGGCTACGAAAAGACATGAATGTGGGACTGAGCTGAGAAACATTTCCAAATTTGTTTAAATATCAATGCACTCGACTCTCCATAGACCTTCTACACAGTTTGGCTGTGGACATTGCATTTTTTCCAAATTATGAGAAATAAATGTTGGTTGGAATGAATGAATTGTCATTCGCACGGGACAAGTCGTATTCCAGAAAAAAGTGGAAAATTGGAGCACGACACAAACGTGAACGCTCTTTCATTATAAAAGTGCATTGAAAACATTTGTTAATGTTTGCTCTTCGTTTTTCAACACAATTTAATACATTGGGACAGTTGGAAAGTTGCACAATAACCTCAAAGTTGGATTTTTTTTGTTTCTTACGACCGAACAAGAGGGGGATCCCCCTGGTAAAAAAGTCCGGGGATATCTCCTCCGGCTCCCATGCACCCCCGGGATTGTACGCCCCCCTGTCGTACACTGTCATCTGTTCACCATGGGTTTTTTGGCTTTTAAAAAATATTTTTTCGGGGGGGGGGCGGGAGAGCATATATGAACCTCGCGTGACTGCAGTCCATGAAGAACACGTCAGAAATGATGTTGTCAATTTAAAACATATAGGCCTATACAATTTTCGATGGTCTGAAAGATGCACCTTTTTCTGCTTATTATTGTCTTTCTGATCTGTCAGATTAAAAGGAATCTGATTTCAGATTTCATGAAAAATGATCACCCGAAACTTACGCTTTATGCCGGTGTAAAAGGTAATTCTGTCCCTTGGTAATGCAATTCAAGTAGTTCCAGGTTATTCTGTTCCCTGCTTAACCCTAAAGGGGCCGGGTTATTTTGACCATTTCTCAGCCGGGGGGGGGGGGGGGCGGATTCCGCCCTCCCAAGATCTCGGCCATCGAGTGACGAAACATTTTGAAACTCGGTACATGCATAGAGCAACTCTTCATGAACATACCCAATAAATTTCATGATCAAAGATCAAAGGGTTTTGGAATTATGGCTAATTAATTATTCATATGTATGAATGGCAATTCTGGTCTGTGTGCACGACGTATATGGGAAAATTAACTTTTCACGGCGCGTAGCACCGGAAAAAATTTCGCTGCGCAACAACCCATCGTCCGATTGTTATGTTTATGGTGTCAAAAGATGCGCAAGGCTCGAGGCTAAAAAGTCATAAAAGCTTGCGTTGCGAAAAAAATTTTTTTAAAGGCTATCGCGGAAAAATTCGAGGGGAGGGGGCGGATTCCGTCCCTCGGCCCTTTAGGGTATAACGGAAAATGTGTCGTGGGAAATTTGTCCCCATTTGCTACGTGTAAGTCTAGCTGTGTAATATTTTGCTACTGTGTTTTCGCGCACAGGGTACCTGGCTATAGACGAACACTATGGTGCTCGTCGATTAAAACAATATGGTAAAGTGTAAACTTTTTGTTAAAATGATGGGGTTTGGGAATTGAATATTCGGCTTTTGAGTCTCAATTAAGGGTTTTTCTCTTTACGGTCGAGTGTTGACCTAACATGATCTGCATTAATGTACCGACAGAGGGCGCTGTCTCGAGTTAACCGCCATAGACATATAATAAAACCATAGAGCTATATTAAATTTAATATAGCTCTATGAATAAAACCTAGACACGACATTACGTTGTAAATTCTGTGAGCAAAACGGGCTGCGTCACGCGGCCTGGCGCGATATGCTTTTATCATGTGGCTTCGATTTACGCGCATACTTCATACGTACCCCCCCCCCTTCCCCTCCAACTGATTTTCGGAGGCCAAAATGTCCGGAGAAAAAAACCTGTCTACACTGCAGAATTTTTTTGCTGATGAACTCTCCCCCCCTCCCTCTTAAAAAAAATTGGTTCCGCCCCTGCCGCCTGTTGGGTTCCACGCTTTTGGCGGTTCATTTATATTCATCATCGGAAGTTTTTCAAGGTGTCAAAATGCCACTTATGAACGGATGAGCCATTGGCTGATATCCCGCTGCCTAGCTGCTTGGTCGTGGCCCACAGGCCTTCCCACATTCTGGGGACTCCAACAATAAATGCTTACCACATTTCATTCTTTCATCCTACATGAGTTACAAAGACTTCATTGGGGTAAAAATAGTGATAAGTCGATATCACATTTCATATTAATGTACCAACTTACGTCAGAGGTGGATCTAGCAACTTTTGCTGGGATTGGATTGGAAGGAGGGGGCGCTGTTCAGGCCCTTCAGATTCAGGCCCGTCAGATACATAATAACTATTGCACAATATATTTACTTTAGTGTGTCAGATCAGGAGAGGGGTTCGACCCCCACCCCCTCTGGATCCGTGACTGCATGTCACTGACAGTAAAAGTCAAGTCTGTAAAAGCACCATTTGGAATTTTAGAATTCAATCCTTGAGGTACATTTGGGTGTTCCACTTGACCTAGTTTTTCTATTTTGTATTTCCAGTTTTAAGGGTGAGGTGCTTTGTTTTCTTGTGTTTTCCTATTTTGCGAATTACTTTATTTTGGGGGAATGTTCACAATTAAAGAAACTGTATTATTTTGAAACATAGAATAACATTTTACAATATACATTATATTTTTGCATGCCCGGTACAATATTGCATACTGCGTTTCTTACATCAATCAAATTGCGACATTAATAATGGTACAGTCATATTGATCGAACGAAACCTCGTTGTGATTATAGTCAATTATTAAAAATTCATTGATTTATTACATAGACCTTTGCTTTGTTTTTAATACTTCTGTAGGCCTGCCGAGCATATGTAAATATCAAACTAAACCAAAATTTTTAAAAATATAGGATAACAAAATCAAAAAGTTATGTGCTGGCCAAGCTTTCAGGGATTGGATGGGCCATAACGATGCCCCATCACAATCCCCTAGTTCTCTTCCGGGCTCTCGGGGGTCCCGGCCAATACACACTTCCTTCCCTGTCCATCCATGTAACCCCGGAGGGCCAGTCACCATGTAAAAGCAAAGAGCTAAGGGAGGAACAGGGCGGCACCCTAAGCCCTGATCCTCCGAGTTGACCACATGCCCTGAACCTGTACGAAGGTGCCAACCTGGAACTCGCGGACAGTACCAGCCGCAGTGCTTACCGATTAAGCTAAGGTACCGTTGGTATTTTACCACGGGAAATTAAACATCTTATAATGACCGAATAGAACGCGTGCGTTGAAAAGCAAAAAGACACGGACGGGATTCGAAACCGGGCTCCGCAATTCGTGGACGACGGATCTAACCACTCGGCCACCAGGCATCCTTGGAATTCCCCTCCAAAACAATTTGTCTTAATAACAGGCGGAGAAACCTGGAACATTACTGTGTGCATCTGTTTTGGCTTCATGGACGAACAGAATTGAAGTGGATGTTTCGGGCAGTAATGAGTCAACTGTTTTGGTTTGTTTGGAAAATTGTATACGGCAGCCTCGTTAGTCGTAGGCCTATACGTGTGCTAAACATACTTACGGAACAATGAACACTATTTTATATGTAGGCTATTTTGAATTTTGACGGGGTGGGAGGGGGTTCAGGCCCGTTAGATTTATGTAGCCAATCTTAGCATTTTGATAATTTTAGTCTATTTTGTGTGTGTCAGACAGTGGCGTAGCCACGGGGGGAGGGGGGGGGGGGGGCGTGGGGGCGTGGGGGGGGGGGGGGGGCGACAGCCCCCCATGAAACCTTGTCGCCCCCCCCCCAGTCGCCCCCACCCACTGAGATTTTGAGTTTCAAAAAAAATTATCATTGATCTACATGACCCCCCCCATGAAATGTTCCAGCCCCCCCCCCACTGAAAAATTCCTGGCTACGCCACTGGTGTCAGAGGGGGGGGGGGGGGGGGGGGGGGTGTCTGGCGGGATAGAGGGGGGGGGGGGGAGTCCGAAACCCCTGTGGATCCGCGCCTGACTTCACTTTTTCTATTTGGACAGAATACAGATTCCCAACTCCATCACTACTATTTCAACTTAATACGGCTTTAAAAAAGAAAGAAAGAAAGAAACGTGTTTTTACGGATTTGTTTGGTAACACTGTAAATTAGGCCTCTATGTCTTTTCCGTTCGCTATTCCCAAAAGTCCTTCATCAGCATTTAATCCAACATTATTTTCCTTAAAAATAAAGTAAACAGTATGTTCTCGTCCTTAATTCTAAAAAAAAAACCTTAAATGTACACGAAAACAACATTACAACATTTTCGTTCCGAAATTGCCTACGCCGGCCAAATCACGATTGGCATGACCTGAAATTCTTCCGTGTTTGAGCATATTGTGGGCAATGAACTTGAAGGTTCGTACAAAATAAGGATGGGAGCCGTGCACTGGAACGAGAGCTTGTATTTCTGTACAATTTGGATGAAATTAGGGCCCTATAAGTGCTCTCTTTTGCAATGGAGTGTAGGCACCGTTTTTCAAAATGGTGATGGGCTTCAGGACTATTTTAAGGGGTGATTATATTCGGGTGGAAATTTCTCCCAGAATTCATCAAATTAAAAAAGACGATGAAATAAGCTTAAATGTTGATGTGTGTTTCGAACACCTTGGAGAGTAAATTGCGAGTATATTTTCCCGACTTTCTAGACACTCTCGGACAGTAGGTGGCGTTTTTCATCGCTGCCGACTGACGTGAGTCGCTTTTCCCGATGATGTCGCCGGCCCCTTCGCGCTCGCCCCCCCCCCCCGGCTCGCTTATGTAAGGGGTTAGCCGTGCATTTTTATAAAAATTGGAGAAAATTTGACGTTTTCTGGAAATTTCAAAATGTAACGGGCTAGCCGTGGATTTTTATCAAAATTTGGCAAAATTTG